TGGTTTGAATCCTGATGAAGAATACATAGCCTAATTGAAATAAAAATAGTTTACAAAATAATACAAATGAGCTGTCATAGGCAAGTATACATATAAAAGCTCTCAGCTTAAAAATCACTCAATGATTTCAAAAGTTATACCTACCAATTCTAAATAGTCTTTGTAGTTCTATTTAGAGTATTCTTGAGTATCTTGAGCTTGAGTCCTACGTAAGGCAGTAGATTATTTAATTTTAATGTGTTATTTTTTAATTGTAAACCAGTTCACAATTCCTTTCCGTGATACCAACATACTGCAGCTAATCTAAAACCCTAACGATACTCGAATTGAAAAGGCTGCAAAAACCCGAGCGAACTGAATCCATGGCGCCCATTGATGTTCAGATCGCAGCCGTTCCTCCATAATCCGCCCCATTGAAGTGCGGACTTGAAATGGACGGTCGAACGCAGATTGAACTCTTTTGTTTCTAAACCCAATGGTTCTGCGTTTGAGGATGATAGAATAAATACCTACGGATGAACAAAGCTTTTTTAAAAAGGCGAACAATTTAAAAGGTTTTTTCCCTCTGAAAATAAAGTAAGTACAAACATTTGTTTACAGACAATGGTTAATATTAAAATACACTTTTATCAAAATCGATGAAGCACATAACTTAGTTTGCATTAAATCATTAATAACGTGAAAGTATCTTTAGAATTTTGTTATTAATGGCAGCCTTAAATGCAATGCAACTTTAACAATAACAATCTTCTAAAATCTATAATTTATTAATGATGCATTGCTAAAGTTGTTTAATAAAAAAGTAGTAAGTAGTTGTGGTAACCTTTTATGCCATTTTGCAGTAAAACATAATCTTACACTACATCACAAAAGAGCCTCACAATAACAATGTAGCGTGGAGGACTTAACATGCCTTAACGGCCGTTACTTTGGATTTGCCTCGCGCGGTAAATATTTTGTTACTTTAAAAGGTTGCCTTTGTGAGATTTGTGCCACTTCTGTTTGCATTCCTTTGAGTATGAACAGTTCTTGACTTAACCTTACAATGTTATGAAATTGCTCAAGTAAATAAAGACTATTTGTATAAGTAAAACATTTTATACACAATACACGTGTTTCGTTGTATGATTTATAGATTTACTTTCGATTTTCTACGAATCTTCCTATTTGTTTTACAAATCATGAATCTTTTACTGAGACTTTTGCTAAGTAATAATCAAAATATCTAAAGTAAAAAGCTTCAAATTTCTTTGTGGACTCGCCTTGTTGTCACGAAAAAATGTGATATTTCAGTTCAAACAGAGATTCCGCGAAAGCCTTTGACATTTTTGGATCCATTGTTTTCTGTTTTGCGTATATTCCGTCCTATCTGGTTTCCACATGGAGTTTTCCCGAAAAAATAGAATTATACAAGCGTGTTAGGTCACAAGAGCAGTGGACACTGCAAATTGCTGCTACAGGCACAGAATAATAATAACTACAGCTACCTGAACCGCATGACGCCAGCGAAAATGCGATGTGACGTGACATTTTCATGCAAATGGACAGCCTTATGTAAAGTGGCCCAATCTCAAAATGAGAAGTGACAGCTGTCAAATTGTGTAGAATACAACACCTCCATCATTTTGCCGGCTAGTAGTTTGTAACTGTTACTTTAGGTTTAGTTTTGACTTTAATCAATATTGATTTGAATCATTGAATGTTAATAAAATAACATAGGTACATTGCATACGTACACATATAATAAAGCCATGGACTACCAACTATGAAGTAGTGGTTTAACTTATTAGTACTGCAGCCTAAAAATAAAATAAATGAAGCCTTAACCAATACCAATTAATTCGACTGGTTCGGTATAAAGTAGTCGAAAAATTCACAATAAATTTTTCAATTAAAAACATCCCGTTTTACACATTAATAATTGCAGGCTACTCTATGACTTCCACTGTGTTTCACCTGCCAAAAACTATTCATTTTCATCTCCATTTTTGCCTCCATTTTTGCCTCCATTTTTGCCTCTATTTTTACCTCAAATTCACTTGGTTGGAAAAAATCAATTAGCGTGCACCATTTGAAGCCAGACAATTTTGCTCACAAAATATAGGATGATTGATCACTTGTTATTTTATTGGCCACGTTGTTCTATGAAACAGTAACGGCCTACAAATAATTTAGGAAACTGTTTTTAAATTCTATTTGCAGATAGTAAATGACCCTTAAAATATCCAAAATATAGTTTAATGTACGAAAGTTACACAATAATACATTTTAAGACCTTACTTACTATTAAAATAATTAGGGCACTTACATAAGGAACAGAATGTAAATTAATGAAATTTAACCATGAAGTCCTTATTCCTGCGAGGCTTGTTTATAAATCAAACCGGTTAACGATATTTTAACGACCCCATAAACTACACATAAACCATAAACGTCAGGAATCCACCCACAAAACGTTCGTGTTCACGTGATCTTAGTTTATGAAAAACAAATTCATAATTTATTTATTGTAGCAGTTTATAAAGACGGAAAAAAATCCAACGTAAACGGACAGTCATGTAGCAGTCAATCAATGATTTGAAAAAAATAGGAAATAATAATAAAAAAATGTTTTATAGGCAGCGAAATTAAAACATTAGGTAGGTAACACAATCTTTCAATCATGTTGTGTTACTTTTATTTTAGCGTAGTAATTGAATTATTATCTTTTCTATTAATCGTGAATAGCATAATTTGTATAGACACAAGACAATGGACATGATTAGACTCTTTGGGTAAAGTCCGTTTCACCATAAACTGTAAACAGGTAACTTTTTAGGTATCCCTTAAAGAGTAGGTAATCATCTGTAAAGCGATGAAAAATTACATAAATCAAACTGACTGAAAATAAACACCGTAACCGTAGTTTAAGGCCGAGTTGCACCATCTTATTTTAACTGTGACTATAATCATGTCCGGTGTTTTTGTATGAAGTTTGACAGACGTTTGTTAAAGTTAAAGTAAGATTATGCAACCCAGCTTAAAATCCACTTGTCTGATTGCGTCATTACAGACGCCTATGACCTTTCATAACATCTCATCACCAGTTTTGAGACACTTTTGTACCCCATCTTTGTCTTTCCAGTCGACCTTGACCATCCTTTTGTAATGCTAATCATTCATCTACAAACCCAATGAAATGGCAAAAAGCGTTGTTTGATTAGCGAAATTGATCGAAATTTCCTCCGAATCGTTCATAAATAAGAGCTATCTTCGACATTTCGAGTCGTAATAGCGGAGTACCGACCGACTGTAGGCTGATAAAGCTTGGGGATAATAAAAGGTTTCTCTTGTGACAGGGTTGCCAGCTGATATTCCAAGTTAACCCAGAAAAGGCTTTTTCCTATTGTGTCGATGAAAAAGTGAAATAATGCTGGGTATTTTTTACTTACGTAACATGTATTGAATCCTACATGATTCTAAGGTGAAATGACGCAATATAATCAAGCTATAGTTATAAAGACGTACCTATATCTTCCTTGAATCATAATATATTTTATCATTACGTTTATTTGAAAAGAAAATAATTCCTCACAGTAAAAAAAATGAAACGAAGACCTACGAGTAATCACAAATGACCCAAGTCAAAACTAATTAAAAAACTTCGAACTTTAAACGTTTAATTTAGCTGTCATTTAAAACTTTCTAATGAGTCGTTTACTTTATTAACTCTAATTATAATTACGCTTTAAATTTTCTTCACATTAAATACTTTTTAAGTGTTAAGACTAAAATAATAAAGTATCAACCCTGTAGTTATTACTCGTATCTGCCGAATGGCGCAATGCGGAACTGATTCTGATTCGTACGCAGGCGGCGGAGGGTCCAAATTTTATTGTCCTCGCAGCGCCTCTTGAGACATTTCAGAGTAACAATAATATGATAAAGGCGATTTAGATGCACTTGACTTGGCTTAATGTTACATTTTTCCTTTGCCTTTTCATGGAAAGGTCGGGAAAATATTTATTGGGAATATTTGGGACACGTCTCTGGAGTAATGACGGTTTTGGGATGGTGACTCATTTTTTAGTCACATATTCATGATTCTACTCTTTATTTTTGACGGTGATATCATTTCATAAAATGTCACCTTTCTATTTCTACTCGTATATTCCACCCAGTATTCCATTTCAAATTGTGTGAATAAATACGAGTACCTATCTTCAATTTATGAAATATTATTTCGGAATTATGCACTTAAAGGTTGTGCTTCATTTCCTCAGCTTTTAATATAAAACTCTACTAATTCCATTTCATGGAACTTTCCAGCAGATGGAAGAAGCTGTACAAAGTACATACCCCAAATAAAGCCGTGTGCGTCATTAGTATTGTCTGGGCGCTTGTTACCGCGAGAACAATGGCATATGAGCGGGGATGCTGCCGCGAGGTCGCGTGAAATATGGGTTTATTCGTTACTTTCCACAATACGAGTGTATTGGACAAGTAATTTGAAACAACAATGCTCTCTCATCTGAATCTGTATAGAGCTAGTGGTTCTCAAATTGTACTCTCATCCTTGTAGCACCAACCTAAATGATACAAAAATAAACATTTTTGTGACATTTTGTGTCTTAAATACTTTCTAACTTAATTAACCCTCTGATATAAAGACGATGCTGAGCTTCAGAGGTAAAACATTAAGCTATCTACAGAACTGATCAAATCAAATCAAATCAAAAATATTTTATTCAATTTTGACCACTAGTGGCACTTAGATGTAAATAAAGTCAACACAGACAAGTGTAGTATTTGACTTAGGAGAACTTGCTCCAAATGAGTATTATCTCCTTCTTCCTCAGTCCCTAATTGATGAGGATCGCGACCACATATATTTGTTCGTCCACAGACTGCGGTCATAAATGAGGATTGAAGCTAAAAAAAATACAAAAAAACAAGAAATTAACTATGTCCTAGTTGGTACGCAACATTACCACCAACTAACCCTTTATTTTTGTCCACAGGCGAGCGCCTTATCCAGTTCGCATCCGAGAACCTCGTGACGGAGATCCTGATCCATCCGCAGATGAACACGCTGATGCAGTGCATGCGCAACCTGCTCAGCTCCTTCACGCGGCACCGGCACCTCGTGCACGCCGGCTACACCTTCGCAGGGAACGGCTCCTGGATCATGCAGGTATGTAGACGTAACACTATAGTCCGGTCGCCGAGCAGCTTGGGGTCATTGGACGAAATTCTATGTGCTCGGCGACCAGACTTTACTTTGAATTACTTGGTATGTAGGTACGTAGAGTTCGGGGCACAGATTCCGTAGTTATATGTAGCACAGGTACCAATATGAGTGGTAGCTCGTACATGGATACGTGGCTCTCGTACACAGCATCAGTATATTACGATACATTAGTAGCACGCCAGGTACACATTCGCAGGGAACGGCTCCTGGATCATGCAGGTATGTACCTGGTCGTAGCGTGTAACTAGGGTTGCTAGGCGTCCGGATAAAGCCGGACATAGTTAGGGTTTTTGATTGCGTGTCCGACCAAAATAACCGATGGCGGCCTGTCCGGCTTTTGTTAGGCTTTTTATTTGGCTGCCGCGCCAGGCGAAAGTCGAGCCACAGAATAAGGCACGCACGCATCAGGACGTTAGGCAACCGATGATGATAGTACTCACTCGTGAGCTCACTAATTGTCGCATGTCCGGCTTTTAGGGTAAAATGTCCGGCCAAATGAAGCACATAGTCCGGCTTTTGTGTTTTTGGACCTGGCAACCCTACGTGTAGCACATCATTGTATCACGTACGTAGGTACATGCATCGTAACACGTACCATTACGAAACTCTAGTACTTAGCAGTGATACGTAGCACTGGTACATATTCTGTGCTGGTACTACGAAGATGACTCGTGGAGTTCGTAGCACAGATTCCGTAGTTATACGCAACACAGGTACTAATATGAGGGGTAGCTCGTACATGGATACGTGGGTCTCGTAAACAGCATCAGTATATTACGATACATTAGTAGCACTGGTACCTCGTGCACGCCAGGTACACATTCGCATTTTACGGCTCATGGATCATGCAGGTACCTGGTCGTAGTATGGCATTGAATCCTGGTCATAGCACTAGTAGTACGAAGGGTTCGAACACAGGTACGTAGAACTGGTACGTAGCACGGGTACATTGTACTGCTACATAACATCAGTATCAACGTTCGTAGCACCGACAGTAACTGACATTACGTGTAACAAGTCTTGTATGTACAGGTACGTACATATGTACTTACGAGTACCAGTACTACTACATACCTTTGCTAAGTATCCGCTACGTACATAGCAATGGTATGTATCTGAACGTAGCTCTTTATATCTTATATCCGGAATTTGTTCAAAAGTTCCGTTTTAATTAGATACGTAAAATGGGGATGTTGCCTGGGTCAAAAAGCAAGAGTTTTAATTAGTCCGTCAGTTAACTTATCAAAAAATACTCTACACGTATTTTTCACTTTTTCAAACTAATGAAAATTTAAAGAGATAAAGCGCCCCAAAGTTCATAAGAAGAGGCCCGTGACGTCAAAGCTTGCTTAAAAATGCCGCACGTTGTGACGTCGTGCGCAACTTCAACGCACCATAACTATGTAATTATTTGTTAGATTGACAAATAAAAATATATGTGTCCAATATTTTTTGATATTAAACATTACGGACTAAAAAAATTTTTTTAGGCAACTAGCCTATTCCTGACCGGAAACATTTTACCCAAACTCTCAACGTTATTCAAAAACTGATAATTATCTTTTAAAATAACCTTTATTTTCTGTAACAAACGACTCGTGTCCATCGTAGCTAGATAAATTCTCTCGCAGTAACGAGGCATGGCCTGAAAGTTCCTTCATTAATTTCCATTACAGCATCCCTGCTCATAATATGAGCTTTATTTATGAGACTCACGGTGATCGGCCCAGTAATATGAAATTACGGTACGCGTAGGTAAATTCTAGTTATTTGGGTTAAATGCCGTAGCCTCCTTTTTAACAACAGACAAATGACAAATACATTTTTGAACATTGTTATTTCGTTTTATTTTGTTCTCGAAATGTTTTTATAACAAGCACTTTTGTTAAGGAGGACAATCTATTTTTGAGTTGATGAGTACCTACATAGGTCATTAATAATTTTATTTCCTCTTTCTATGTACCACTTGAGATTGTAGACCTATTTATTTACTATAATTTCCTATAGCTTTCGAACGTTTCTGATGTTAGTAAATATCTATACAGGGTGTTAGGTAAATGGGTATATGAGCCGACACTAGCCCATGTTAACATGGTCATATAAATGGTATAATGAAGTCAGTTTGATATCATCATTTAATTTTTTTAAATTTTCATACAAAATAAATTTTATAAAATCCGATTTGTATGAAAATTAAAATGGAGATATGAATTTTCTGACTTCACCATACCATTTAAGTATATGACCATGTTAACATGGGCTAGTGTCGGCTCATATACCCATTTACCTAACACCCTGTATAATACAATAAAATCTTCAAACCTTTTTGAAACTGATTTGAATCGGTTCACTTTGCGTCCCCTTCAACTGGTAGCCATTATGTGGTTTCCTTTGAAAGGCAAATGGCGTGCACGACCTATCACTCCTGCAGACCTCCAGAGAACAAAGATGAGGGTCTACGTTGAACCACAAATCGCTGAATTAATAATATGGGATAGTAAGTAACTTGCCGATTTGACCTTCGTTTCAACAGTAAATAATAAATTTGATCCTTGAGTGTACTGAAGGCTTAATCTAAAATAGAGGATTATTTTCTCCTTATTATGTTAAAATTGGTGTCTAACATTAATTTGTTATCTTTAGTTAAACTGTTAGGTTTTCCAAGGAAAACACCCAAAAATTAATATAAGTTGTAATATTAGACATTGAGTCCTGATCCTTTTTGTGTTTACTTACATAATTTTTAACGGATCCCGATAGCGTTTCATTTTAATAACAGCCTATTTTTCTGGCGTTAGTATACGACTACATTCACTTGACCAATTTATTTTTAGCAGCGTTTATTAACGCAATTTATTAAAAACTAGCTGACCCGGCGAACTTCGTACCGCCTTAGCGTAGAGATTTTCTTAATATTTTTTTCCGTAAGAACCATCCTTGGACTTCCACAAACTTTAAAAAAAAAGAATTATCGAAATCGGTTCAGCCGTTCACACGTGATGCCGTGACAACGCGAAACGGGTTTCATTTTTATATATATAGAAAAATGATCTGCCTCCTGGGTCTTTATTGGCTGTATATTTTATTCCCTTGCCACCTCACTAGGACAGTCTAATAAAACATTCACCAGGGATTCAAAATGGTGGATATTTTGACGCGGGAACAAATTAATGTTTAATTTCGTCGACGCCGTACTGTAACGAGATTCGATGCTCATTTGGAAGTTTAATTTAAAATGTGTAATTACATTTTGTTGGTGCTACCAGAATGTTAATGAAACCAGCTTTTAGAAGGTGCTAATTTAATTTCCCAATCGAATTGTTGGATAAACAAATTGTTAATTCAATGAACTCAATGTAAATACTCCTGAAAGTGGTTCGAAATTAACAGTTCCAGAGGTAGGTAACCACAAGATTCCAATTTCAGCACAATGTTCTGAGAACATAGCACGTCCATGCATTAAATACCCCAGTAAAGAGAGTCTTACTCTCTATAGATTTTAGGTTTCCTCCAGTTAAGTGTTTTAACTACAAATAAATTATGTAGAACGCGATGAACCCTGCCACGTCGCCAGTTATTTATTTTTCATCATGACAAATATTGGGAAACGATCGGACGGTGGGTATTGGGAATACTGGGAACGTTTGTGTATTTATGTTCGTGTGTTTATATTAGGACACTTACTTGTTTGCAATAATAAGTAATTTGTTTTAAAATACTTGTAAATTGTGTTGAATATGTTTGAACCAAACAAACAATTTTTCTTTCTTTTCTTTTCTAAAATAGGTGTGTTTACGTTTCTCACATTTGCAATTAACAAACACATCGTTCTAGTTTCATAAAGTGATGAGACAATTTAGTAAGTCAGTGGGTAATTTCCGGGGTAACGGGGTCGCGGAAAATGTCCCCGTTGTATTGACGGGGAAACGTGTCGACTGACGGGAATGGGTAACGGAGTTGCTGTTATTGGAAACACTAAAGTGGGACTTATTTCTATCTGTGTCTGTGTTTTAATGAGTTAATCTAGGAAAATATTAGTTTACATTATTTTATTAAAGTTATCAGAGATAGGAAGCTATGTTATTGCTAAATTATCCCATCAATCGTAAAATAATCGTAGTGTGAAAACGTCACTAAATGACAAATAATTTTGTGACATTTTATATTTTGGGAGTCAAAAGGAGTTAGATAATTATTTTGCAGCCTTTTAGATTCATTAGGTAGTTAGAATCATTGCCAGATTGACCAATGTATAAAATTATTGGTATTACAAAATACATAATTTATGATGTTTTTACAGAACAAAACATGCATATATGCATAAATTAAACTTTAAAAAATACAGACATGAAAACCGTCTTACTGCAATATGCTGCCAGTAAAATGTAGTTTTTAATTTGAAGTTATACATATAAATCTCGCGGCGTTCCCTCGCTCCCGTCGATTTTAATTTCCGTTTCGCGGCGTGGGATGCATCCACTCGATCACAATACGTTTAAAATAACGATATACGAAATATAGGCATCTTTATTTTAAATTCAACGGTTTATTTGGTTGAAAAAATAAGTACACGAGTGATAAAATCTTTAGACAGTCTTTTGTTTGAGCTGGTACTGGTATGTTCCGGCAGTTAGAGGTAAGGTAGCCAGTTTCTCCGTGGTTGACGATTCCGGGTGAAGTTCGCTTCCACCTTCGGCCTGATCGTCACTTACCATCAGGTGAGATACAGGCCAAGAGCTTTCTCGTTGTGAATAAAAAAATATATTTGTGGGTGCGTACGAGTACCTATAAGCTAATAGATTTTTTTCCTAAACAATATCAAATTCGATTTGGTATCTTACGGTAGTACTAGTTACCAGTAGATTAACATTTATACACAAATCTTACATTTCATCTTTTCATAATAATTGAAGTACCTATAACTTAAAATAGGTACAGACCTATATGAAATAGGTACAGACCTATATGAAATAGGTACAATTATTATAATGAGCCCAAAAACTAAAGAAGGTTTCGCTTAACCGAAGTTTCGGCAGCAGGTGCCGGCCAAACTTATTATAATACACTTTGAAAGTTGGTTTCGTATTTCCAAGTTGTATAATTAACACCGCAGCATTAAACAACACATAAACTTCACCGCAATAATAACCGAAGCTTCTCGACTTAAAGTTAAAGGCCATAAAAAGCCGAGTGAAATCCTAACAGAAAATAAATGGGAACGAGAAAAACACTTAGACTTTAGCGAACATAGCAAACATCTAGACGTCGTAATAAGATTACGTTTGACATTTTTCAAGCGTCTCAAAGATGTAGGGCGACCAATGCGACCATAATTCATATTTTAAGCCGCATGGAAAAGGCCTTTTTCTAGAAATTTCATAAGACGCTCAGCTGAAATCTTGAATTTATAGTCTGAAAATGTAGGTAACATTTATGTACTCCCAGGCACTGTTATTTAAATTTCGCCAAAATTATTCAGAAGCAGAGAGTAATATTTTTGAACTAAGCCTAATTGATTTTCTTAATATTATGTGATGGAAGTCTAAAATCGTGTTGAAAATAATCTACCTAATAGCTACCCACTACCTCTCATAAAATGAGTATATTCTGCGATGAACATATCAATGAGCATACTCAAAGCCTTAATTTTCATCACGTCGGCGGTTTCTAAGAAATTTTCATTACACTGGCTACAATATGCTACAATATTATTTTCTCCATGTATTCTCATTTCCAAATAAAATCACGGGTCTGATATTTCTCAACAATAATAGAATAAGCTGGACTATATCCAAAATAGGCTCCAACGTGTGGTGCATCTACTGAGACGAGATAGGCCTTGAAATAAGCCTATTGCTGTTGAGGCCGTTTGTCTTTACGGCGCCCGCATGAATCTCGGTTTTGATATATAGGCACCAGATGATTGAAGGAACAGCTTGAGATAATACGGGGAAAGATTTTTATCATATCTAGCTTCCACTCTTCAGGATTACTTTCAATAAGAAAGAAGGTTTTCAAAAAGATCTTTCCCTAAAGATCACAGAAACTTATCCGAAGAAAAACTACTCCGTAGTTCCTACTTCACTATACAAAAAAAAAATGTTTCAGACCATTTAAGTAAATGTGTAATGAACAACGCTTAACGATGGGCAGTTAAAAGTATGTTAATTAAATAACTTTATGGTCAACAGAATTAGCTCGTACTTTACGGAAAAACTAAAAAAGCTTGTAATTAAGTTTTACCCGGGCATGCATAGCACTGGAAATGATATAGAGCGACAGTTAATTTTCTCAAGTGCTAAATGTAGTCATTAACGAGGCGTAATATAACTTTCCTTATTATAAAAGTTAAACCACAACTCTTTAGAACATATTTTTTGAACTTTCACAAAGATTTGGTTATTGTTACTAGATAATATTTCTTATTTCTGTAGGAAGTGGGAATTCTTCAGTAAATAACACTGGAGTAAATGTGATAACTGGATATAATATTTCTCTTCAATATAATAGTATTACACGTCTTTTACTATAATAATTACACAACTAGTTCACTAGTTTGTCTTCCGTCTTCGTCCACAACACACTCTCCGCATAACAACAAACTCCACTTTTAAACTACTAAGCTATTCTCACTCTCAATTCTCGTTCCTCATTCATCCCTTCCGTTTCCTCCATAGACCAATCGTTCCTCATCATCCAGCGTTCAAATCATAAACTAATCTTTCATCCGTCATCCGACTATTCCGTTACACACAAAACTCGTTAATCCTACATTTCATTTATTGGATTTGACTACTTAAAAAAGTTACGCCCATTTTAAAGCCTTAAGTCGCGACTATCTAATTAGCAATAAATAAAGGCACTATCATTGCACAGCTTAAAGCACTAACGATCTCAGCTTAAGTAAAGCAACTTCTAAAACGTAACATCATTAGTTCAGCGTAAGCACTAAAAGCACTTTCATAAATCAAGCTCTCTGAAAGCTCCAGAGCTTCGGATGATAAATTAAAATTTAATTCATAATTCGATATTGATATTACGTCGCTGCCAATATTTGTTCGGCGCGTGAGAGGTTAATTAAACTAGAGCTTTTTTGCATAAAGCTGACGTGAGACTGTTTGTGCGCTCGCGTATAAAGCGATTCATTTTGCACGGTGATTATTGAAACACCGGGCACTGGACGTTATTATAAAATTCTATTAAAAAAACACGGCAACATGCACTTTTTGGAAATGGGACCTCCACGTCATAGGGGTAACAACGACAGAGTGACGTCATGAGCCATTAGCTACGATAAATTTTATCGTCTCATCATTGATTTATTATTCCTAAGTTGTACGCTTCTATCAACCTGATCGATCACAAAATACATATTTTATGAATCTGCGCTTCGAGAAAATAAATAGATTGAATAGTCAATTTTATGGAGTCGTGGTGGTCAATTAAAGTTTTGCACCATAAAAAAAGATCTCCTTTGACAGACTACTGAAACAGTGCTACTTAAAATGACGTCAACGTCTTTACGGTGCAGAAGTACCTACCCTACTTACTCTATAGGTAAGAAAAAGTTGCAATGAAATAAAAAGTCAGTGACATTTCCTTTATTTTCCACCACTCAAACTCGGGTTACGAGTACGAACTTTAACTCAGTCCCCACTTGTGAAAGTATTTGCGATAAAAGTCCCTCGCAGAACGTAATGCGTGGTATTTTCACACGGCGGAAGTCCTTTTAGGAAGCAATAAAAAGCTTGACCTACTAACTTTTGTCGGTTTGCATACCCGAGTAGGGTTGGCGCGCAATTGAATTTATTTGTCGCTGTTTAAAGGTGGTAAAATATGTTAATTCTTTGCTAGTGACGCTCTTTTCTATACTTAGATAAAAAACTTATTTAGGTACGCTAGATTCTTTAAACTTATTTTGCAAGCGTAACGTAAGAGACGCAAAAAATACCTAAACTTAAGTTGATAACCTCAGTTTCTTCCGCCACTTCTTCTCAGCACCAGCCCATGTTGTCCCGAAGTGGTGGTAGGGCAAGCTATATTTGGGACGTGTATAAGTGCCCTGGAAAGGGCCTGTGTACTGAATTAACTATTTCATTTATTTTCATTTCTTTTCAGCCTTTAGTCCTGGTAGAAATAAGACTAGAAGACAATAGGTACTTAAAAACTCTCTGCAGTTTTAATGGGCATAATTTTTGGGTTGCTTTGTGTGACAATCAAGATCTGTAACCTTTCTTCTTCTTCATCTTCCTCGGTCCCTCACTGATCAAGATCGCGACCACAGATAGTGTTCCTCCACAGGCTGCGGTCATAAGCTGTGTGGACCGCACGATACAAACTCCCGCCCACCGTCTTCCTCACCGCGTCCGACCATCTCGTCGGTGCCCTGCCCCGAGCGCGTCTGCCTTCCATTTGTCCCAAGATAATTTGTTTCTCCAGACAATGCCTTGGAGACCGCATAATGTGTCTAAAGAAACACTTAAACATACTCAAATCCAATCTCTTTGTTACAGGACGGGACCTTTTCCCTGGCAGACTTTACGGACGCATACCAAGAAAATGAAGTGCAGCGCGTGATTCGCGCGTACGAAAACTCAATCTCGATCGACGTGCATTGCTCCACGAGCGGCGGCGGCGACTGGGCCAAGCTGCCCGAGATGCCCTTCGTCAAGCACTGCAAGATTAGGGTCAACCCTACGGACATTTTGGACTCTGGCTCGCAAGCCATCAAGGATTTTATCGGTAAGTAAAAAAGGAACTTTTTGAACTTCGTTTTAGCAGAGTAAATACAAATGAGTAGGTCATCTTCATAAAAAACGCACCGAGCGCGGTTTGTATGTGAGCGCGCGCCAATACGTATACGGCGCGCACGCAGACACTGATAAAATTCGGGGCAACTCACCGCTAATCAACGCTAAATTTTGTCATTGTGTGCGTGCGCGCCGCATTCGTATTTGCGCGCTCACATACAAACCGCGCTCGGGCGTTTCTATGAAGATGACCTACTCATTTGTATTTACTCTGGTTTTAGCCAAATGACTGCTGGACAAAGGCCCTAGGCCCACTAGGATTCCCATAACGATTGGTCCCGCATCCAGGTACTTCCGCGACCTGCACCAGATCGTCGGTCCACCTAGTGGGGGGCCTGCTGCCCACACTATGTCTTCCGGCCCATGGTAGCCACTCCATTACTTTTCTACCCCATAGGCCATCAGTAAAGCTAAATGCTTCGTCTACTACTGCCACTTGACACTTTTTGACCTATTGCAATCTTAAAGATACATATTTTATTAAAAATCTTATGAACCAAAAATCTTCCAAATCTTTTTTTTGTCCTTAAAATCAGTAGGTATCCTTAAACATCAGCGTCATTAATAACTCAGTCACATAAGCAATATAATTAAAGAATTTAAATCCGAGCTGCTGACTGTAATTAAATCCTACTCAGTGATTGACGCCATATTTAATTCACAAGCCGACAAATGTAGGTCGTTGGGAACACTCGACGATATTTAAATAGTAGGTAAAATCAATGTGGAAGGTTGGAAAACAGTCGCCTCAGACAGAGTAACCCAATTTAACTTTTATAAATATAGGTATATAAAGAAATTCTTAAAAATTCAAAATTCCTGTTTTGTGCGTAAGTTTAGATACTGATTTATAGTTTAGGTACTTAAAATAAAAACTTGCGTTTAAATATTATACGATTGGATGAGCTACCGTGATTTTCCTCTGTATTGAAATCTGTATTCCTCTGTATTGTCTTGGAATATTAGTTAGTATCATTGTGCCAATTACACAAGAAAGAAAAATAATTTAAATAAACGATCACACGTTTAAGCTATGTTTATACTACAGTTTACAACTACCAAACAAAGTTGTAAGTGCCCCAATCACGAACAAGCAAAACTAAGAAAAGCATCTTTTCAAATTCAAATCAGCTACAAGTGGAGAGCTTCCTCCTAGCTACAGCCTCTAATTGCGCCAAGAAACTTTCGTAGCAGCTAACGATCCACTTGTGCTTCGCTCGTGCACAGCGATGCTGTATGGGAATGTATGCGGCGTAATCAAATTGCTACGGCTACGAGTTGACTACGACGTTCGTAGCTTGGCGTGGTAAATTCCGTAGTACGAAACTAGCGTCTTAGACTAAATTTTGAAATAGCTCTCGTATTTGAACCAACACCACAGAATAAGTACCTAACTACTACATAGAAGAATAGATTTATTACCCTGACTGTTCTAAATAAAAATATATCTAATAATAACAATTAAATTTCAACCAGTAGGTAGCATGCGTCAGTCTACTATGCTCAATTTTCGTCATCATCGTCAGTTTGTTTACGTGATCTTGGATTTTTTTCTTTCATTCTTCAAATAAGGCTCAAACCAAAGCAGCAACCCATCAATGAGCAAGACATATCAATGGGCAAGATGATCTTAATGATGATAAAAATCCTAGCCACTATAAAATGTAAAATGTACACCGTTTATTAAAACAAATAAGTGCTCCCCAAAGTGTGTATAACATACCAATTTGCAAATTACACAGAAATTTGTCACGGAAAGTTGTTTCGCGTGATTAGGTGTCGGTGTACAACGGCGGCTTGTTACCAACTGCGAGAATTTCCAGACAGTTAATTTGACGCTCAGATGTTGGGAATTGTCGGGATACAAAAGTTGAGCGTTGAAGCGAACGCGTCCATGTTTGTTGTTGTAGACACATCACGAGGATACAGGACACGGCGATTGTATTTTCACAAAACTTTCAGCAAACTACTCAATTGTTTTGCCTTCATTGGTTAGTGGAAAAATAAAAAAAATATCATGTTTACTTTGTATTAATTTTGGTTCCAAATGTTATTAAACATTATGAAATCATAATCAAGTAGGTAGGTAATTGGCTTTCTACATAGATATATACACACACCGGCAGATTTAGAGGAACGGAAAAAAAAGCATCAATATCATCATTATTTTAGGAAAAAAATGCCTAATTATGACATTATTTTTTAATTTAATTCTAAATATGAAAAAAATAATTGCCAACAGTATATTTTTTTAATTATTTTGTTTAAATTACCCCATCAACAGTTTCGTTGAGTGTTTTGAATTGAATGAAGCTTTTGCTAATTTGGATTTCTTTTACGTGAAAGATGTTTTTTTCTGAGAATATTGTTGTGTAAGCATTCAGTTACTTATAAGGGTTTATTATGCCCAGCTTAGCACCGTCAGAAATCATTAAGGCAGATGAAATGAGAAGTAACGGCCATGCATACAAATCGGCTGCCGTAAGACGTCGTTGATCAGTATCGACCACCCATGGCAGTAACCAACGGTACAGATTGATCATTTCTGTCGTTAGGAGGAGGGTTCAAGTCAGAAAAAGGCGTACTTCGCGACGGGATGACCGTTTTTTACAACTTCGAGTTTTCAGAAAGTCGCGGTTACCTGCTGTTCAAGCCAGAAATAACCTTAAAGACACTCGAGGAGTAAGAGTGACTGAGCCCACAGTTCACAGGAGATTTACTGAAGTTGGTATAGGGTCGTGCATACCCGAGAAAGCTCCAACTTGTGACACAGCACCGAAAAAACATATTGAACTTTTCACGTGAATATCGTGATTGGGTCTTGAACGACTGGAGGCATGATCTCTTCACTTATGAGTGCAGAGTTCTCTTAAACCAGATCGATGGAAGATAGCGAATATGGAGACACAAAGAGAACGTAACATTTAGTCTTAATTTTGAAAATATCGTGGTTTATGGAGGTAGCTTAATTCTGGTGTGGGGAAGGATTTTTTTGGGAGCTCGCACGGAGTTAGTGGTGGGTGATGGAGGAAATACGACTTCTGAATGGTACACTAGGAACATTTTAGAAGAACATGATGTGCCATTTACTCCATTTATTGTGGACTCCTTTAGTTTAATTCACGATAATGTTCGTTTTCACAGTGCTCGCTCAGTACAGGCACATCTAAACCATTTGGATATACCCATGATGCAGTGGCTGGCAAGATCCCTAGACAAGAATCCTATAGAGCATGTCTTGGACTTTCTTAAAAGATGTGTTAAACTCAGAATACCACCGGTGGTGTTGAGAAACGCGTTACTAGAGGAATGGCAGACATTGCCCCAAAATACCCTTCATATCATTAACTGCAGCATGCTCAGATGAATGGAAACCATCATCAGAGCAAGAGGGGGAAATACCCATCATTAATTCATTCATTTGGATAGTGATAAGCTACCCTAATTTTTAATCTGGCCACAATTTCTAATTTTTGTTCAAAACTGAAAAATTGAAATTTCGTTTCGATGATTTTTTATTAAATAAAAACGACTAAATATTTAAAAAATATATGTTATTTTATTTTATTTTAATTATCTCTTTATTTTGTATAATAAATATTTCATAGATCAGTAGTAATTTTCCTTATTTTCATACTTTTTTTTGCGTTCCGCTAAATCTGCCGGTGTGTGTAGTTAAGAAACTTTTGATTATGAAGACCATTATATTTAAATTGACTTATGAAAGAAAATACGTAAGAGTAGGCGCACACCGTTGATTTTTAGTTGGCCGATAGTTGTGCCCGATTTCAAATTGTATGAAGAATCGGCCAAATTGAATCGCCGTAGTGTGCGCACTCCCACACATGCCCATACTAATCAACAGCCCGACTAAACTATCGGCCGACGAAAAATCAACGGTGTGCGCCTACTCTAAATGAATGAATTGGTCTGTGATGTTATTTTCTTTGTTTAAATAAACATGTACTCCGTTTCCACGACTACCGAAACAATTAACCTTAATGTATCGAATAACAATGTAAACTAATTCTGCTCTATTTCAATTATTCTAAGTTTTAGTTATAAAGGCATTATAAACAACCTCATAGATGTAGGTAAACAATGTTCATTGTTTAAAATGAAGCAAATAAGAGATTTGTAATTAAAATTATTGGTAAGCAATCGAAATTGGAATTAATTCATATTACTTAATTGCTGATTGTGAATTAGTATAGTTGTATTTACAGAATCGTAATCCTTACCACCACTTTACAACAAACTTAAATTTTAACTTCTGTCAGCGCTACGTTTTAATTTAAACTTACGAGTACACTGACCTTTGGAACTCTGCTATCGTATTTTAAATCATGCCCCAGGTAGTACAAGATGTTTCCAATACTGCGGCTGCAACTTTAATGTTGTTCACTCAACTCGAAATTGCTTCCACAACTTTCGTCCCATACATCGCTTAGTTCGAGGTCGGGAACAGTAAACCATTGTAAAGTGCTCCGGTATTAATGTAGATTTCAAAGAATATCTAAACTACTAAGGCTAGCTTATTCCTGTTTGATTTTAGTGATACACGTTTCTCAGGGGTGAGAAATTGCTATTAACAAACTGTAAGGTGCTTAAATTATTTTAAAGTAAAAGTTATTGTGATGTCTACAGACCTAATTGAATGAGCTAAGTATACAATGTAAAACTAAATTGCAGAATGTTTAATGGATTTTTAAAATGAAATCTTCACGACCTTTCGTACTCAGTTCAAAGCTTCGTTTTCTTCTTTTTAGATCCAACGACTTAACATTAATAAACCCACAATTCGTTGAGCACAAACATTAAGGTTTATTAGCAGCAGACAAAGTAAAACGCTCATAAAATTCTTTCTTTATTCAGCTGAGCATTGAAATTAAGTTTCATTCAAACGGGAGTTTATTATGAAAAATAATTCAAGTAACAATTCCCTGTGCTAACAATATCGCGCACGTTCGCCCCCGGTATTCACGAGTGCTTATTTCAATGCGGTTCATATTACCTGCAGCATTTGTAAGCATTTATCAAGCAGAATATACGCTTTTATGTAGGGGAACCTGTTGAACCTTGGACAGAGTTGTACCTAAAACAATTGTATATATTTTTTAAATTATGCGGTTTTATGAAAAGTTGTCTAGGGTATTACATACGTCATTTGTCAACGTTAACGTGAAGTTAGCTAAGATTCGCCGACGCCGTGCAAGTACAAGAAAAAATGGTAATTTAATATTTTACACTGACGCAGTGAGATTTTGGAGGTTTACTTCATGTCAATTTATGAAAAATGTTGCATGTTTGACAAAACGGTTATAGTTAGAACATAATCTTTATATATCTAGCTACTAGACGATATGAGTTTCAGATCCTAAACTCAAATGGAAGTGGGTTTATTATGCTTATTAAGTGAAGTAGTCGTAATGTTGTACCTTGACCACCCAACTAGCGATGTACCTTGGTCACTGATTTTCATTATGTTTTAATGAGAATTTTATTGTAATAAAAAAACATATTATACTATTATAGAAACAATGCCCCGAAGACCTCAAAATAGCAATTTAAAGTCTGTTTTTGATATATATATTTTTAATTTCTAATGTTTTTTAAATTTACGTTTAATGTATCTTCATATGACTTTTTTAACATTATTTTTGTTGATAAAGCGGTTTTAATGGATATTTTGCTAGAATTTATGTTAAATGATAAGAAATAAAAAAAACTAGATTGCAAGTTAAAGCCACTCCAGCGCGTATTTTGTCCTACACGACATAACATATCAACATTCACCAAAATTTTCTAGAAAAAATGTTGAATATTGTCATATTTTTGTTGATTGTGTAAGGCTAAACATGGACTGGAGAGCCGGCTTAAACTTAAGTGATTTGTTGCCAAAAAATTGTGAAAAATAATTAGTACAAAAAATATGGATGAGGATCTTTTTTAAAAAATACTTTTACCTAGATATTGTTGCTAATAACTGTAATAATTGGTATTTCAAATAATAATTTAACAGAAAATTAACAAATTGAAGCGAATATAAGCATTTATTTAAATTTAAATAGGTACAACGTACACGGTCCAAGGTACATCTGGTTTGTTGTACCTAGGACAGTTTTCCCTTTTTTTTTCTAGCAGCTAGTATGCCCAAATTTTTAAAATTATACACAATTTTATGAATGAATTATGTAGCTAATTAAATGATCTTTAAATATAACAGCACTAGACAAGTTTAACTATCACCATTATTTTTCAAAAAATCAAAATTCGAAAAACTGGCCTAAGTACAACAGGTTCCCCTACCGTATTGAAACCCAACTGCGCGTATAATATGAATTTTCTATCGCGATGCTTCCAGGGGCTTCATTCAGCCAACTTTGCATGATTTGATTTGAATACTAATGAGGATTAGACGATCGTGTAAAGAGCACTTTATTGCAAGTTATAAAGTAAATTTCCAACTCGAAGGCAGCACACCCATTTCCTTATCCTAGATTTATCAGGAAACCTGCCTCGACCTAATCAATGACCTGCAAACTTGCAATACTTCATCTCCGCTGCCTCCTGCGGCCTTCGAGTGAAACCTAACTTTACCACGTCGGGGTTAGAGTTGAACATTGGAAGCATTTCAATTTAAGTTGCTAATTAATCGATCTTACCGTAATAGGCCAGCTTAATGAGTTTCTGCTGCAATTAGTAGAACAGCAACCGACTGACACAGTTTTCTTAGCAAAATATGTAAATTGTACTTTTGCAGATAACAAACTTTAGGCGCTGTAATTAAATTTTAAATTCATAGAGTAGATAAATGGTGGTTATGAATGATCACACCTACATAACTAACTGAAGGTAAAGTGGAATATACATAAATTGGAGGAACTTTAGCTCAAAAATGCAAATTGATGCGAAACTTACTTTTTACTGAGAATTCTGCACGATATTAAAATAAATTTCTATATTATAAGACCATATTGTAGATAATGTTACGAGGGTGGCTTTATTGAAAATACCAAGTACCTACGTAGCTTTATATTAAAGTTTATGCGTGGTTTGTGGTGTTTTAATGTCATATTATGCAGATTATAGTTATTTTGTTAATTTAGTACACAACACAATAGTAACTTGATAATAGTATCCTCAAACTACAGCAATCACACATCGTTTGCATACCTTACGGGACAGAAAATGTTTGCAGAGTTCATATGCATATTGTTTTGAGTTTCAGAGTACAGCACGTACTTACAGTCCATAACTGCGAAGCTGAACATGAAAAGCTCCAAGTACTTAGGTATACTTAGTAAAGGAATAAGTGCCTAATTTTAATAGAAATCTAGATTCTACAAATATAGGTACTAGGTATAATGGCTATTTATCTTCTTCGGAGGTACCTAATCTCCAGATGCCCAAAGGCAGCCACTCGGCAACAGCTACCCTCAAAATAAGAAGTGGCAAACAATTTTCCGAGGAAACTTCGCGCCATCCATCAAAGGAACCAATTCTCCCGTCCTTTGCCCAGGCAAACTTTGTGCCAATTATGTCGGTACGGAACAAAAAAGAAAAAAGTAGGTATACCCACCTTAAGTGCTAACTGAAAATGGCCGGCTGAAGTTACGGAACAAACTGGATAAATGTAACATAAAGTATATTGCAATTACCTAGGACAATGCCTGTTTCAACAGAAAATTAATTTATAATCAGGTTTTTACATTTAGGTACTTGCAGTTACTCGTAATAGACGAATATGTAACTCTGACATTAATCTAATAGATATAAAACTAGAAATTTTATCCTGTTTGTTAATATCAAAAAACCTTGTTAAACTTTTTCCTTTGTGACACAATTTTTGATTATTTTGATATGAAACACTTCCGTAAAGTTGTCCTCCGTAAGCTACTTACTATTAAAACCGTCTTCACCTCTAAAGTACCTATTTCAACTGCTATTATTTTCCTAAACGGAGTTTGAAGATAATTTTTCAGCGAGCCAGACACTCTCTGCTTATCTGGAGTAATTAGTTTTCTCGGCATTTTAAGCAAAAAAATTTACAGCAAAAGCTAAGTAACTAAAATCGAAATTCTGATATCTTAAATCATAATAAATTAAAGCACTAAAACGTTATCTAATCGTAGACTAGTTACATAAAGTTTACCTAAAAGAGATTTATTTGCGTTACAGACTGAAACAATCAATTAAGTCTAAGTAGAATTTATGCCTCGCTAAAATCAAACACCATCGGCTATATCTAAATTGTAAATGCTCGGAGTCGATTTGTATGGTAATGGCACTTGCCTGAAGTGAGGGTAGCCCTCGAAATGGGCCGCGAGAACGGTTTTATGGAAACAATTTGTCTTTTTTGAGGGCTTTTATTGGAAAGAGTTATGTTGCATTCTATATTATTTTAGCTGCTTTATCAACATTATAACAATATTTTGATGTAGGTAATACAAAACTTTTACGTGTATTAACTTAGTCTTAAGTATTCATGCGTGCTTTTAATAGCATCCCCCTTAAAAGTAAAGGTCAGGGACAAATCCATTTGCAATGGTATATTCATACAATGAACATACAACCCGTTCGCGCTAACTTTGCCGGTGTTACAATAAATCTTTATAAATTAAGCGATTTGTTATCTATTGATTTTTTTTTTTTTTTGATTTCTAATAGGTAGGTACTTAGGGAGTCTATACCCACCTCTTTCTTCTTTCACTGTAGATCATGAGTAACCATTATCCAAAACTTGACGAAACAGCGAATCCTGTTGCTTTCATTAGACCTCAACTCAATTTACAAATCAATGATGGTGGATGAAAAACACAATATTAATGTAGTATGTTATTGATGACTCCTTTTAGTCATAGCATACAAAAAATTGACATTTACCTCTTGCTAATTTCCTTTCTTCAGCATACCTGGACTCATACATTGTGCCAGCCAGGCTGTACTAATAAAAGACTCTTTAATGACTTGACTCGTAGCATTTAAACCTTAACATTTACCTCCTGAGAGCTGGAAGACGTAGCGTGGGCAGGCCTCCCACTAGGTGGACCGACGATCTGGTGAAGGTCGCGGGAGGTACCTGGATGCAAGCGGCGCAGGACCGGTCTTTGTGGAAATCCTTGGGGGAGGCCTTTGTCCAGCAGTGGACGTCTTTCGGCTGAAACGAACGAACGATTTACCTCCTGTTAATTGTCTCCTTTCTTCCGCAGCATACCTGGACCCATACATTGTGCCAGCCAGCCTGGACCAGCTGCTGGTCTCCAGCGACGTGGTGGGCAACATTCGCTTCAGCCACCCCACGCTCTACGTGTTCCCTGGAGGACAGGGGGATGCCGCACTCTTCGGCATCAACGGATTCAACATGCTTGGTGAGTCTACTTTAAAAAGAGTTATTTTATCATCAGATCATACAGTCTCCATTGCCGGAGCAATCTACAACAGGATTGCTCGTGGGGGTTGACGATTAAGGGGTTTTCTTCATAGGTCTTGTAGTTTCCACTATAAGAGAATATATTAAACTACCAAGGGCAAATGGAAGATTTTAGCTAGCTGGTCAGATTGGGGAGGTCATTTTGAGCCTCCATGCAGGGGCTGTAATCTACCAATAAAATTGAAAGACTGACACCACTAAAAGTTAGACTGAATGAGCTGACATCCAATCCTTTTTTTTTGGAATATCTAACTGAATCAAGTCTCTAAAATCCTAACCTAACTAGAAACAAAAATATGAATTTGAAGAGAAATATTGAAGACCAGTACAAAACGCAAACTCTTATCTGATGGGAAAAGATAGGGGCTGGAACTCAACGCCCGTTCAACTGGAAATCTTCACTGCCAATCTTGAAACCCTCAAATTATTTGAAGGACGAATTTGGGATACGATAAGTAAGATAGCTTTCTCCGCAGAATAATATTAAAAGTACTGAAATTCAATGAACTGTACATTTTTGTGGAAATGTAAAGACCGACTAGAATTTTACGTTTCAAAGTAAAATATTTTCATGCAAATCATAGATTCTTATCAGGCTAAGATAGGCTGTTTATAGTACCCTACAGAAAATAAAAGTATCTAATAACAGCACAATTTCAGCTTCCAGCAAAGTTTCGTAAATGCCTTTATTTGTCTGTGGCCTATTCAAGAACTAAGTTACAAACGCAATAACCTCACTAAACACTATTTAGGTGGAAAGAAATTGGACATCTACACTAATATTATAAAGAGGAAAACTTTGTTTGTTTGTTTGGTTGTAATGAATAGGCTCAAAAACTACTGGACCGTTTTTTAAAATTCTTTCACCATTCGAAAGCTACATTATCCACGAGTAACATAGGCTAAATTTTATTTTGGAAAAAAATAGGGTTCCGTAAAATATGTAGATAATGTAGTCCACGCGCGCGAAGCCGCGGGCGGAAAGCTAGTCATGTATAAAGAGCTGAATCATGGCTGTTCCAAAGATTGCCTGGGCAATCTCGTAAGTTACTTCGGGACGCCTCGAGGCAGATTTTTGCGGGACGCCTTTATTGTGGCAAGTTGGATCTGTGCCAACGCTCCGGGCGTGTGTGAACACGGCGTTACTCTGGCAAATTACATTTGACAAGTAATTTGGGGGAATGGGAGAAGGACTATTATCCCTCCCCTCTATCAGAGCAAATTGGGTTATGATTTTGACGCTATCGAGGAATCTTGATGGGAGATCCCATTATTTTTGTAGCGCCAAGATTTGTTGTGTTATTCGCAATCAGAACAGTTAATAAGAAGTGGTGATTGATATAGTTTTCCATATTTTCTTCGTTCTCATCGTAATTTCGACACTTATCTGTTAGATTGTGTAACAAACCCATGTTTTGTGAATCGAGAGAAATGTACTTTTCAGGTCGAATAAAATCTATGATTATGAAAAAGCCAACACATGTGTGAAAAGTATTCAATTATTAAATCGACCTGAAAAGTACATGTCTCCCGATTCACAGATGACTACTAGTTAAAGCCTGACCAGGAACATAAAAACCCTGGCATAGAGGCGCGTCAATTGCATTTGATAGTGCAACACTGAGTACAGTCGTACCTGTGTTAAATTAATAGGCTAACTTTATGTATCAGGATTCAGGATTACGGGCTAATTTGATATTTTCATAAATTAACGAAAAAATATTATTATAGGTAACCTGGTTTAAATAAATTAAATGAAACCATCAATCGAACTAGTAGGATTTATTTTATTATTCATCAATAATCAAATTCAGAACTTGAATATTCAACTGCAATGTCTGCTCATGAACGCTTCAAACTCGGTACTTCTTTCCCAATTCCATAAAATTCAACTTTTAGAAAGTGACAAAAAACTTTAAAATAGGTAGTTGAAACAAACCACAGCTAATTTTCATAGTGGACTGTACTATACGATAAACATGTCAGTCAATTTGACAACCTATAATGGAAACATTATTCAATGAAAATATTGTCCGAACCGTTGGTATTTCTCTTCGACAAATACTTTAACACATTGTGAACCACTTTTCTTTCACGACTATAAAAAGATTTTAGCAATTTCATTCACAAAATCAATTGCGCACATTTAAAACAAAGTTTGTTTACACTTTGACGGCAATAGACTGACATGCAAGGTGACATGTCAATGAAGTTTTTAGTTACTGTTGCCATTAAAAGAAATTAGTACCATTAGTTTTCCGCAACATGGCGAGGGTTTTTATGTTCCTGGTCAGGCTATACATTCTTTATTATACTGATCCATCGCTTTAGCTATTCTATACTTCGCAGTATCTGGTATAATAATGAAATTTTTGAAGAAAACCGTTTGATCGAGGAATTTTATCAGCGAGCACATAACACACCCACAGTCCACACGCCCACTTTATTCGCTGCTATTGAACGAATATTGGCCATAAATTCTTTTAAACTTTAGTTCAGCGAAAGGAGGTTAAGACTCCAGTGTTGAATAGAGACGAGTAGAATACTTTTTTACAAATAAACTCGAAGGGCCTTGATGTCTCCGCCGGCCTTCTCTGAAGTGTTTGGTATTGTGCCAGCGAGATATTGGATTTCTTCAGCTAAAAGCCTCTTGACAGACTAGCCTTAGTTAAGTGGGTATCGAATTATTCTGGTGCTAAGCAGTTAAGTACAAAGTTTGTGTCAACTTTTATAAAAATACCCGCAGCATGAGACCGAGCAGTACAGTTTTTAACACTGTTTTCTTTGCTTTACTTGGTATTTTTTTGTTACTGCAGCTTTTTATAGTCAATTTAAAGATTAATGACGATTACTGTTTACTTTAAAATTATGATTATGATCACTCGGATACACAATCATCATTCATCACTATTTCATGAATCCATTTAACATGTATGTCGGTTAAAAAGCAACGCAAGCCTTAAAAATCCATCCAATTAATCGCATCAACGTTTTGTTAACACTTTATAATCCGATCACATTAAACCCATCAATATTGAAACCTGGTACCGTTACGTAAAACTTGAATCCAGGAATATTCTATTTACATTAAGCTCGCTCGAACGGGGTCGATAAACAAGCTTTGTTGGCATAGCTAATTGGAAGCTCTAAAAGCTCTATTGGACGCTGTGCGGAACAATTCGATAAAACAATGCTAATCCTTACAATAAACGGATTACCTTGCTGAGGTTGCCTTAGAAATACAATTCTAACAAAATACTTGAAAGGTTTGGCTTACTTGATAAACTGATTTAAGCAAAATAGAGAAAATAAAAATTTTACCAAAAATAGGCTAAAGCAAACCTGAAAAGACTCTACCTCAAGCCAATTAGATGATGTAGTTATTTTTAAGTACATAGTTGTAGTTTAGTGTAGTTATGAATATATTTTCGTCCCTAGGCAATTTGGAAGTTGTATTATAGGTACCTAGTTACTTACTTTATATTTTTGGAAGAATATTGTTACAAATCAAGATATTGGACAAGTAATTTTATAAACAGCATGAGTAGTTGTTCCAAGTTCTCCTAGTTTGTGTATAAAAATAGTACTATGTTTCTAGTTAAATACATTGTAGTCAAACAAAACTAGCTTTACAATCTCGTCACGTCTGCAGCAGAAAGGCAATCTATTCGATGGGGTCTATTGTGTCGGACAGCGTGACACAGCTCTCTGACACTCGGTAAACAACGCGACACGCAATATGTGTCAACCTGTTCTGTTGCAGGCTTTGCAATTGATTGTTAATTACAATCAAAGCATGATATAGGTTACAAGCCATCGTATGTCATCATCAATCATTTCAGATATAGATTGTCCACTGCTGATGTAGGCCAATGATTTCCAAATTGGCTAGATTGAAGCGGCTTGTTTTCTGCGGCTTCCTGCAAAATTAATAAGGTCTTTAGTAATTATGAATGATACCCCTTTTCACAAATTCGAATAAACCACATAACATAACAAATAACTGTTACCCCCGGTTTACACATGTCTCCGTTTTACTGTTCCGTTTTATCGTGTACGTTTTTTTATCGTCGATGGCGTATGTAGTTGTATGAGCGACTTCACACATGACACAGTATTCTGTATACAGTAATAAATACAAAAAACGTACACGACAAAACGGAACAGTAAAACGGAGACATGTGTGAACCGGCCGTTACGTATCCAGATATAAATAAATAAGCATCCCAAATTCGACTCGTTTAGGTAATCATTCTACGTACTAACCTCTAGAGACGCACTAGTCATACGTTAATTAATCAATGCTAAACTACACACCACTCCATCAAACCATTTAAACTCCAAGGATTTAAGCCGTTCAAATCGCAAATTATCATTCTTCATTGGTATTTTTAAACCGACCAAAACCTCTGTATTTACACGGATTAATCCTAGATTTGCTCTGAACTAAATGGACGAGGCGGCCTGTCTACTCGCGAGCAAACATCATTGCACAAACATGAAGTGGACATTGCCACAGTGAGGAGAAAACAGCCACGTCGTTCTTGAAAATGAAATGTTTTATTTCTAATCATTGTGGTGATATAAAATCAAAGTGGTTAGGACCTTTTATGCAACAGTTTTTCACTTTTAACTTTTAGCAGCTTGAATTTGAAAAAGACACAGGTCCTGTGAAAGAAAAAGGGTCGGTTAGAAAATCTTCAATATCTTCAAAAGCACCAGACCTAGCTTTATGAAATGATGACTAAATTATTTCAAGCTTTTTGTTTCTAACATGTAAAATAAATAAAAATGCGTAGTTTTTCCAGTATGTTTTGTTTCGTAAAGCTAGCTAGCTGGTAAAAACATTTGTATGTAGAAAAATATAGGTTTTCTGTTATTACACGATATGTGGCAGGGTACACTCCTATTTATTTTTCAATCAAATGTAGTCGCTTATTGGGCAGAGTGTTTGCTTTCGATTCTATCTCGTTTTGTTTACATTGGGATCAAATGTGCTAACCGTAGAATTGGACTGCGTGTTTCCAGTCTTTTATTTTTCACAGTCCATTAGGATAAAACCGTAAGCCGTTTATACAGGGTGCCCCAAAAAATAGTGTCAAGCCGAAGCCCTGAGGTACAGCATCATTAAGACTACCCAAATCACCACGACTTTTGATAGTTTTCGAGTCATAATTTTTTTTACAACAATCAGGATTTTTTATGTTTTTAGTGTTATGGATGTAAATATTTCTAAATCAGTTAGGACTAGTAATAATCTAATAATAATAAAAAAAAAACAGGCATTTACCTTAACTATTCGCGTCACAGTAACCAAAAAAGTACCTAAGCATAGACAACAATCATAACTCGAAAACTATAAAAAAAATAGCGGGACATAGGTACATGGGGTGATTCGGGTAGCTCTAGTGATGCTTTACCTCTGGGCTTCGGCTTGACACTACTTTTTGGGAAACCCTGTATTATGGCTGAGAATACAAAGTTATATAACCTGATATAGAGTTTCAGGGACGATATGGGCTTCTAAAACACGTGTGGAAAAGTTAAGGCGACTTTATTTACACAAACTTCTCGGTCCATTAGGCCAACAAAGTTTGTTAGTTGCTAGCTTAATCTTCTTTTGTCTTGAGTAACTTGGATAACTGAGCAAGTTTCCCGGACTTTGATGCATAAGAACCTAGTTTAAATACTCAGAATATTAAATATATTGGAATCTTTTCCTGCAAGAAACAAAGCGTATAATCAATAAATAAGGAAGCCACTGTCATATAATTAGGATAAAATAAGGCCATATTAAGTAGGTTTACTGGGAAAATGAAACGAGGGAGCTAATGGGCTTTCATCTCAAGCAAAAGACTGACTGCTGGACAGAGGCCTCTCAGAATTTCACAACGTCTGATCTTGTACTATCCGCGTCTAATGGTATTAACCAATGATGTTAATAACATTTGAATACTGAAACATGATTTGTTATTATTTTCTGAGGCAGGCACGTACTTGCTTGCTACTTTATGGCAGTTTATAGCCAAAATTTTGTACGTGCGGCAATATTATTTTGTACTTGCGACCTACATACAACCCAGCCGATTTAACTACGCACCCGGTAGCCGTGACGTCACGTTGACGTTCTTGTATGGACAGGGCGAACGCGGGGAGGTGTGCGAGTGAGTGCAAAGGAGAGTCGCACTCCAGTGAGGTTAACTCGACCGGACTGTACTTGTTCATTTTGGAACATTATATGACCGATATTTTGTACCTATCTAGGGTTTTCCATATCGCTGGTGTTAACCAAACTAATTGTACGTGTATCGTGTATTCCGTTGGCTTTAACGAAACTAAATAATTTTCCAGTGGACGGCGGTTTCTCGCGCAAGGCCTGCTGGTGGGACTTCGCGAGGCACCTGGACCGTCTGGACGCGGTGCTGTTCACGCGTCTCAACAACTGCTCGGTGGCCGGCATGTCGTCGGTACTGCGACGGAAGGCGGGCGCTAACGTCTACCCGCAGATTGGACACTTCTTTTGTAACCTCGAAGTAAGTGCTGTTCATTTCTTCTGCAATTTTGAAGTAAGTCCATAACAGAGCATGCTGTTCACGCGCCTCAACAACTGCTCGGTGGCCGGCATGTCGTCGGTACTGCGACGGAAGGCGGGTGCTAACGTTGCAACCTCGAAGTAAGTCCATACCACTGTCATACTGTTCACTTCTGCAACCTCGAAGTAAGTCCATATCACAGCGTGTTGTTCACGCACCTCAATTACTGCTCCGTCTCGTAGCAGAAGCATATTTAGCTTACCATAGATCATTTCATTTATCCACGAAGACACGCCCCACCACTCCCCGGTCAAGAAAAACGCGGAGTGCGGGGAGCCTTTTTTTTCGTCAGGAAAATACATTGATTTGTATACCCACCAGCCGCGGGGGCAGTTAGTGGGTTATGTGAGGTTCTCCCTGCCAGAAGGGCAGGGCCTATCCACTAAAAACCTGACGTTGCCCTCATTAGCCATATGAGTCGGGAACGCGGGACATCACTATCGGCGTTTTGTCTCAAGAATTCGTCCGCGTTCGTTGACTCGCTTAGTACGCAGCCCCAAACCAAGGAAGGCGTTATTACGCCTTCAACCTCCTGCGAGCGGCACGCAGGACACGTGCTGCGCCGTCGCGGCCTCTTTAGATGCCACCAGACACCCGCGTATCTGATGGCCGAAGCCTATTAGGAAGGGGCAGATGGAGGTCATAGAGCCTCCTTCTGTGCCCATGACGTAGGTGCGGGGAGCCTGATCCAACCAATCCGAGCGTCATCATTGTAGTGTGCAACGCTGCCAATCCCAACAATGACGCTCGGATTGGTCGGATCAAACTCCCCGCACCCCGCGCTTCCCCCGACCAAAAATGGTGGGGCGCGTCCTCGTGGATGAGACGATCTATAATTATTAGCTTAGATACTTGTGCTACGATTGGGTAAACTACAATAATCCAGCGGCAGCAGGATTTGAACCCGCGTGCCACGGAACTCAAATCGGCCAGTCCGACACTGAAACCACTGGGCTCTTGTCACTTTAGTATTTGCACATCAAGGTTTAACTTTACGCAGATCTCGTTGATAACCAAAATAAATACTCTTTCATTACCTATTATTACACAATATTATGTAGTTATTTACGAAAAATAAGCGTATTCAGCCAGGCGCCGCCGCGACGGCTCCGAAGGCCGCGTAACTATATCCGCCGCGCCCGACTGGCGCTGCTTACTGTGTGTTCTAGGCCTTCGTCAATGAGTAGGCTTAGCTAGTGAGGTCTTACCGATTTTGTTGAGCAAATTGAAATAGCATTGCTATCCTAAAACCTTAGGGCCAGCTTTTTATCTAAAGCTAGTCAATCATACTTTGATACATTGACTTGCTACTAATTGAGGAATAATTATGAGCAAAACGCGTTTATAAACAGTACTATTACCATAACAAAACACTTTGTCTAATAGTTAACTACGGGCAAAGAAAAAGAAAAACCTCACCAAATATTACATTGTGATATGTACCTATTATTATGATTGTTTTTCGTTTTCATTTACCTTTTACCTAGCTGATAATGCAACGCAAAGCCAAATGTAAAGCATTCTAATTATTTGTTTTACTCTTCAACTTTATCTCTCAAGAATGTTGCCGTAACAAATTATAACACTAAATTATTGTACTCACCTAGGAAATTGAAGTAGGTACGAGTACCTACCTACTTCTGAAATTAAAAACTTGAACAATTAAATACTAAATTAAGTAAGTTCCTCCATCTAGTCTAGGAAAATCGCTCTCTAATACCTTCTATGGGACGTGTATACGCGCCCTGGAAAGGCCTAAGTACCTACTGAATAAAAGCTTGAAATATAGTGGATATTTAAAAAATTATATATTGTGAGTTTACTTAAAAAAATATCGATGAAAATCATTTTCCAAAGGCCTTACTTTATCGTATCACAAACTATTTGCGTAGCACATCAGTAACTGCGCGTCCAGCCAAGCGAACAGTATCGGTTTCCACGGGCGGCGCGGGCGCACAGAAGTGCTAGGATACGCGCAGTGACGTTGTGTCTCCAGTGCTTTATGTTCAACCTGAAGTGAAAAGTTGTGTAAATCCATGTAGGCGTAAGTTTCATAGATTTCTAATATAATAAATACACATCCACAAAATGATCTCTAACAAAAACACTTTGCTTAACTTTACTATGTCGACTCGGATATTTTAAATCTTACCTACCCGCGATCGAGATTACCACTTTTTGATTGTCATGGGAGAAACTCCTAGCCTAGTTATTTTTTAAAATATTTTTAATGTATAATTAAGTCTATCCACCCTTTTACATAGATATGAGTAGGTAATTTGAGCTAAGTTAGAGGTAAAATACGTAAACGACGTAATTTCGTCTCCAAACTGAAATGGTTGCAAAAACCTTATTAAGATGTTTAATACAGCATTATTTACTATTCAACACAGCAGACACTGTGGTATATCTAAGGTGTAAACCTTACATGTACAGAAAGGAACAGAATCAAACTTTTCCTTGCCTAAAATTGTGTCTTATGAATAAAACTAGCGGCCTGCGACTTCGTACGCGTGGATCCCGTTTTACCCCCTTAGGGGCGGAGTTTCGTAAAATCCTTTCGTAGCGGATGCCTACGTCATAACATCTACCTGCATGCCAAATTTTAAGCCCGATCCGTCCAGTGGTTTGGGCTGTGCGTTGATAGATCACAATGTCAGTCAGTCAGTCACCTTTGAGTTATATTTATTTAGATAAAAAGTAATAAAGAAATCGTTGTCTTTTGTTGTTTTCCAGGAGCGCCGCGCTCTAGCCAGCCCGGACGGAGACAAGGACGCGGACCCGCTGCTCGTGTCGCTCCTGCAGGAGGGGTCGGACATGATGGCGGACCTGCGCCACCTCAACCTCAAGCCGCAGCACTGCTACCGCGGCCCCGAGCCTATCAACCTTTACCACAAAGTTGGACATGGTAAGAACACAAATTCACTTTGTCCTCTTGTTAAAACTTGAGGGCTAGGAATTAATGGAAGACTTTCACTACATCAAAGTGATGCAGTAGCACTGCTACCGCGGCCCCGAGCCTATCAACCTTTACCACAAAGTTGGACATGGTAAGAATAAGTACATGACCACCATGATCTCTGTAGTGGAACTTGTTAAAAATGTAGGTGCTGGAGATGATGAAGGATAGTGCCGCAGCACTGCTACCGCGGCCCCAAGCCCATCAACCTTTACCACAAAGTTGGACATAGTAAGAACACACACTGTCTTCTTGTTAATACTGGAGGCGCTGGAGATGATGAAGGATCAGTACCACATCAACCTCAAGCCGCAGCACTGCTACTGCGGCCCCGAGCCCATCAACCTTTACCACAAAGTTGGACATGGTAAGAACACATTCACACTGTCTTTTTGTTAATACTGGAGGCGCTGGAGATGACGAAGGATCAGTGCCCCATCAACCTCAAGCCGCAGCACTGCTACCGCGGTCCCGAGCCCTTCAACCTTTACCACAAAGTTGGACACGGTAAGAGAACACATAGAACTTGTTTGTGTAAAGTTAGGGTGGGTGTACCAGTAACAAACCGAATAAGCGACATTTTAAAAGTAATTTTGATATTGCGACTCAATTATTACAACAATCATTGCAAAAAAAGAATTAACTACTCCTTGTCTATTATAGAATAAAGTAGCATATTCCAATTTTCTTAATAGCTGTAAGGTTTATTTTTATTTAACAATCAATGTGGAAAGTCGCAATGTGCCTAAGGTTGACCAGATCGTACCAAGTCGTGTTTGTCGCTTTTATTTATGACTATCTAGCGGCCGCCCGCGACTTCGTACGCGTGGATCCTGTTTTACCCCCTTTTCCCGAATTTTCTTTGCTATAAACCTCACGGAGCCCGAGACCTTTCCAACGAATGCAAAACCGTGGAAATCGGTTCGTGCTTTCTGGAGTTATAGCGTCCAGAGAGGAAAACCCGACTTATTTTTATATAGTAGATGATTGGTAGAAGTACGGCAGTGCTACCAAACGTATCAAAAGTGGCGGGAAATTCAACAGATTGTTAATATTTTGATGTGAAATTAGAAATTATGTACTACTAGTTCCTGGTGTGGGACTGGTACACCCACCCTACCTGTACTTTAAAATTTTACCTTACGTCGTTTATCTTTATGCTCATTATCAGTTATTTTTTTAAATTTCCTATTAAGTCCCTGAGGATCGTCTGCAACTAACTTTTCTTTTTTTGTTTCAGGGACACTTGACATGTACGTACTGAATCCGTCCAAGGACTCGAAACACGTTCGTGAATTCCTAAAAAGGTGGCATAACAGTGAACAAAAACTATTTGAAGGTGCAAGTGTATCTGGACAATTCAATTTTCCAATTCCTAACCTAGTATCCATTTGTGCGTTACTCGTGTGGCGCCCAGCAAACCCAGATGAGACAATAACCAGGATAATGTTCCCTGGTTCCACACCACAACACAAAATATTCGAAGGCCTCGAGAAATTAAAACATCTCGAGTTCCTACAACACCCAACATGCACGGGACGACAGATGGCGCCGGCGCTGCCAGCCATCACCGCTACGACTACCTCTACCACAGTTACCACGACAAAATCGACCAAACACGCTGTTTCGAAAACAAGCAAAGAACGAAGTATCATCACAGAGAAAGCGAAAGAAGAAAAAATGGTTGAACCTGAACCTCCGCCAAAAGACATTATAAAAGACGAAACGGACTCTAAAAATATCATAGACAATAAATTGCTCAGTGAACTAGTTGAGGGTGAGGAGAAAAAACTTGAATCGGTATTACAAGATGCCATAACGGCAAGGATAGAAACTAAACTAGACGATAAAATTGCTCAATACGAGAGCACAGTTTTAGATGGATTACCTAAAAAGAAAGAGGTTAAGAAAAAGGTTACCGAAAAGAAAACTAAGCGAGTTGATAAGACTGACGACACAAAAGACTCTGTAGCTAAAACTACTGAAACCAAAAAGGCTGAGATAGAAAAGACAAAAATGGAAGCAAAGAAAAAGGTAGAGAGCAGAATCAAAGCGGAATCAATGTCCTCAATGACAAGAAGTAAAATTAGTTACAGAACTTCCCAGAAAATAGACAGAAAATCTGCACCTAGCACTGTCGAAAAGAAAACTGCTGCAGATGACAAAAAATCTCCACCGACGACACCAAAGAAGACAGTTGAGTCCAAAATGACCACTTCTGCTATTCAATCTTCTGCAAAAGAGCGAGTTAAGGCAAAGACACGAAAACTAAGCCCAGGGAGCACTCCCGCTAAGAGCGCTAAAGAAGCGAGTAATCGAAGAGTTGCTGAATCAAAATATAAACAGGCATCTCCAAAAAGGGATCTAGCACAAAAAGCGCCTGAAAGAAAAGAGCCTAAAAAGAGAGAACCTATCTCAAGAAGGCCACGACCACTTGCTTCTCCAGTGAAGGGACTGAAAGCAATGAAGAGTCCATCAAAGTCTGTGAAAGCGATTAAAGCCGACACTTCCAAGCTGAAAGGCTTACAAAGAGTAAATTATGAGGACATTCTAAAAGATGCCAAAAAATCTGACGAAGACACCTCGAAATCACTTGACGATATAAAACAACAAGAGTTAGACGAAAGAGAAGAACAAGAAATTGTTAGAGAAATCGAAGCAGTATTTAATAGAGATAGTGAAGCCGAAGAAAAGGTTGAATATGTGGGACGCTCTGATATCGAGAAGATTACCTGTATGCTAGATGATGCCAAGACTGAAACGACTGCCGACGTTGAATTTGAAGAAGAATATTTAATAATAGAAAAGGAAGAAGTGGATCAATATACTGAGGATTCCATTGTTGATCATGTAAGTGGTCATGAACAAGGAGATGAACTCCAAAAACACATCAAAGATAAGGAAGAGTCTGAGAAGAAAAAAGAGGAACCCGTGAAAGAGGACGAAATTGCACATGAACTCAAAATACCAGAACCTGAACATGAAGCTGAACCCAAGCAAATAGAATCAAAAGAGCATTCTGTGAGTGTTGAAGAAAAACAAGACATAAGTAGTGAAAAGAAAACTTCGGACAGTAAAAGTGGAGCCCCGAAACCAAAAGATTCACTCGAACTCAATATTGTACAAGAATCCCAACCAGATGAAAAAATATCTACAACGATCGAATCAGGTGCCACTACTGCACCGACATTACCTGAAGATGAACGGATTACTCTTGATGATATAAAAGAAGACCAACAAATTGAAGAAAAACACATTCAAGAAGAAACTAAAGAAATTGTCCCACCACAAACATTTGACATTCAAAAAATGACTACATTAGAGAAGAGTCTCAAGTTAGAAACACAGCCAGCACCGATCCGAGAAATCGTTAAAACCCCTGATGAGGTCGCCGATTTACCTCTTCATGAAGAAGTAGACTACCGAACATACGAGGAAAAGAAAACGCCAGTTGAAGAAGACATCTTTAAACGAAAACCAGATGTTGGTTTTGTCCATGAAATTAAAGTTCCTAAAGATTTGCCTCTTCCAGACCAGGATGCAGCCGTTTCTTATAAAGGAACCAAAGCGATTGAAGATGACGTTGTACTGAAAACTGTCCAGCGTGCATCTCATGCCGAACTGGTTACTGTCACTCCAGGGTCAGCGCCTGAATCTCCTATGTATCACGAGCAAATGAAAATGTCTCATACATTAGCAGGAAAAGAATTAGAGACTGTAAAAGAATATGACCAGGTAGATTATAACTATGGTCAATACACAGAACAATTAAGAGAAACGCATATCACAACCCTTGATTCGCCTATTAAAGATGATATTATAATTGTAGAAGAAGCACCGTGCATGCCTGAAAAAATACCTTCGATTCCAGAGGATGTTGAAAAGGAAATTGAAGAAGAGCGAAAACTTGAAGCGGGTGAAAAACCTCCCTTAAGTCCAATAGACGTTGAAAAGATTGTTGCTGATGTAGCTGAGGTGCTCAAATCTGAAAAAAGTCTCGAGGAAATAATGGCTGAGAAATCACCCATTCATCTCCGAAAGTCCCCTGAAACAGCAACGATCTCTGATGTTACTATCACGACTGCCATTGAAGCAACTAAACTGCTTTTAGCTAGTGAAAAAGAGTTAAAACAGGAAACCACTAAACAAGAAACAAAAGAAGTCAAACCAGAACTCGAGGAAAAAATTGAACACGCAACAATTGACATTCAAAAAGATGCATCACCAGTTCGGTCAATTACATCAGAAGATGTCAGTGAAGTTTCAGATAAAACGGTGCTAAGTGAGGGTAAGCGAAGTAAACGAGAAATTAAGGAGCAAATATCAGAAGTACAAGAAGCGACAGTTGCAAAAAGTATAGAAGAGAAATTCGTGTCCGAAAAAGAAGATGAAAATTTAGAAAAAAAGGATAAAGAAAAAGAAATACCTGAATTAGAGGAGATGGTCAAAGATATAGTAGCAGAAGATACCGAAGCTACTGTGTCAAAAACGGAACAAGTTATTCCGACATCTCATGACGACATAACCGAAATTAAAATACCTGAAAAAAAATTAAGCATTACCCATGAATCGGCCAAAACTTTAGAAAAATTAGAAGAGAAGATTGCTGACCTTAAACGAAAAGAAGAACTTTCGCAATCTGTTCTAACTCAAGAGGAGGAAAAACTAAAATCGACTACTACCTTTGAAGTTAAGGACTTAAAAGAAACAATCCATAAAAAAGACTTACAAACAACGGACAAAATGCCTACGGAGGACTCATCAAAATTAGATCAAATATCAGTTCATGACAAAGTCGTCACCATCGATGTTAGAAAACCAAGCCTAGAGAAAGAATCTGACACTCTTCTCAGTACAGTTCTTCCCAAAGAACCTAAACCAGAGAAAGAGGAACAGATGAAACAACTCGCAGAAATGGTTTCCACGGTGTCAAAATCTCCGATTGATATTGATACTAAAACAGAAAAGGTGGAACTTGAAAGTCATGGCATAGGAGCTCGTGTATCATCTGAAAGCCCTGAATTGACTGACGAAGTGGAACAGACAGATGTTGTTGACCATGTAACCCAAATTGATCAAGACCTGCAGAAAGATCTTAGCTTTGAAAAAGATTCAGTTCCACTTTCTGTTAAGGAAGGTGAAAAACAACTGATTTCTGAAAAAGACAGTGACGAAGAAAGTGTTCTTGAGAAATTTGATGAAATTTCTACATCAAAATTGGAAGAACCAAAACTTGACATGGACACGTCACACAAGGATACAATTACTACTCTTAAAGAGGGTTTAGTATTAAAAGATGTAACTTTTGATGACAAGAAAGACAGAGCTGAAAAGATCAGCCATGACTTAACAGAGATAACGAGTATGGTTTCTAGCAAACTTGATAAAATGCAAGTAAGTTTAGAAAAGGATATAATTGAAATTAAACAGGATCAAACATTTAAAAAAATCGATGGTGAAGACACACTGACTGATACTTGGAAGGATTCAATTTTGGAATCAAAACAGATGGCCAGTGACATCAAGGAAGTTGAGTCCATCACTAAAAAACTTGATGAAATGAAAGCACAACTGAAAAAAGACATAAAAGCAGAACAATATATTGACTCCGAACCTACTGAGGTTAGCCTGGACAAAGAATTTGTATTGACAACAGAAAGAGAAAAAATAGGCGAGACCTCCAAGGTGCCGAAAGAGAAGCAAGAGTCTCCCGAAAGTGAAAAAGAATCAATTTCTACAGAAGACGGTGAAAGACTGTCTATAATTGAAAAAGTCAGTCCTTTATCTGAAAAATCAATTGAATCGAAACTCCTTTCTGAAACAATTGCAACGTCTGTCGAAAACATGACAAAAAAGGATAGTGAAAAGGAAATAATTTCAACGATTGAACCTGTTGATCAAGATACGTCGTCTGTATCATTGGTTGAAGAAACAATTGAAAAAGAAAAAATTAAAGATTTGAAAGCTGAACCTCTTATTAAAGAAAAACAAGACAAATTTGGTGAAATAAAGGAAAAAACTACTTCATTCTTTTCAAAGAAGTTCGAAGGGATAAAATCTATCTTTGATAAATCAACAACGTCAAAAGATATACCACCAGCGAAAGTTGAAGAAAAAATAGCGACGGATAAAATACCCAGTCCAGTCACAGATATTGACTCAAAAGCAAGCACTAGAAAAGAATCAATAAAAACAAAAGATGAAGATATGTCGCCTGAAGATACAAGTCTAACTAAAGAATATTTTTCGGAAAAACTTTCAGAACATATTCTTTCACTTAACGAGGAACTCAATGTTATAAAAGAAGATTTAGGTCAGAATGATTTCGAGATCAAGCCCACTGAGAAATTAGGCGCACTGCTTGACAAAGACCTGACTGACGATAAAGATATTACTTCTGTAACAGACGAAACAACAAAAAAAGAACCAACAACAACAAAAGATATCGAAACAAAGGTTCTTGAAGAATCAACTGCACTTCTTCAAAATAAACTTTTAACAGGGGATGACAGTATTTTAAAAACTGTAAGCAAAGTAATAAAAACTACTGGGGAAAAACTCGACCTTAGACTTGAGACAGAGCCTATGGTGGTCAAAGAAGTGATATTAGAAGAAATTGAGCCAGTTCTTGGAAAGGTTCCAAGTCCAACAATTGAAAAAGCAATAGAAAAAGAGACGACTCCCGACAAGGAAACTGTGTCAATCATTGAACAACCTGAAGTCATTGAACCGGCTGCTGTGAAAGAAGTCACTGCAGAAATAGTGACTAAACCGAAGGACATGCCGCAAATAATAAAAACAGAACCTTCTGTAGAACAGGAACCAAGCCCAGAAGATACTTCAGAATTACAAAAAGACGCAAAAACTGAACTTGACAAGACACCAAGTCCTGTGAAAGATTCAGCTAAAGAAAAAGAGGAAGCCAAGATATCTCTGGACAAGGAACCAAGCCCTCTCAATGAGGAAAATCAGCCAGCTCTTGACAAGGAGTCCAGTCCACTCAAGGAGGAAACCAAGCCAGCTCTCGACAAGGAGCCAAGCCCAATGAAAGAAAAAGAGCCAAGCCCACTAAAAGAGGAAGCTAAGCCAGCCCTTGACAAAGAGCCAAGTCCGCTCAAGGAGGAAGCTAAGCTAGCGCTTGACAAGGCGCCAAGCCCAATCAAGGAGGAAGCCAAGCCAGCTCTCGACAAGGAGCCAAGCCCAATGAAAGAAAAGGAGCCAAGCCCACTAAAAGAAGAAGCTAAGCCAGCTCACGACAAGGAGCCAAGCCCAATCAAGGAGGAGACCAAGCCATCTGTTGACAAGGAGCCCAGTCCTCTGAAAGAGGAAGCCAAGCCAGCCCTCGAAAAGGAGCCCAGTCCGCTCAAGGAGGAAGCCAAGCCAATCATCGACAAGGAGCCAAGTCCAATGAAAGAAAAGGAGGCAAGCCTACTCAAAGATGAAGCTGAGGCAGCCCTCGATAAGGAGTCAAGTCTAATCAAGGATGAGACCAAGCCATCTCTTGAGAAGGAGCCAAGTCCTCTAAAAGAGGAAGCTAAGCCATCGCTCGACAAAGCGCCAAGTCCAATCATGGAGGAGAGCAAGCCAGCCCTTGACAAGGAGCCCAGTACGCTCAAGGAGGAAGCCAAGCCAACTCTCGACAAGGAGCCAAGCCCAATTAACGAAAAAGAGCCAAGCCCACTAAAAGAGGAAGCCAAGCCATCCATTGACAAGGAGCCCAGTCCGCTCATGGAGGAAGCCAAGCCAGCCCTTGACAAGGAGCCAAGCCCAATGAAAGAAAAGGAGCCAAGCCTACTTAAAGAGGAAGCTAAGACAGCCCATGACAAAGAGCCCAGTCCGCTCAAGGAGGAAGCTAAGCCAGCACTTGACAAGGCGGCAAGCCCAATCAAGGAGGAGACCAAGCCATCTCTTGGCAAGGAGTCCAGTCCTCTAAAAGAGGAAGCTAAGCCAGCCCTCGAAAAGGAACCCACTCCGCTCAAGGAGGAAGCCAAGCCAATCCTCGACAAGGAGCCAAGTCCAATGAAAGAAAAGGAGCCAAGCCTACTCAAAGATGAAGCTGAGGCAGCCCTCGATAAGGAGTCAAGTCTAATCAAGGATGAGACCAAGCCATCTCTTGAGAAGGAGCCAAGTCCTCTAAAAGAGGAAGCTAAGCCATCGCTCGACAAAGCGCCAAGTCCAATCAAGGAGGAAACCAAGCCAGCCCTTGATAAGGAACCCAGTCCTCTCAAAGAAGAAGCCCAGCCAGCCCTTGACAAAGCGCCAAGTACACTCAAGGAGGAAGCCAAGCCAACTCTTGACAAGGAGCCAAGCCCAATTAAAGAAAAAGAGCCAAGCCCACAAGAGGAAGCCAAGCCAGCCATTGACAAGGAGCCCAGTCCGCTCAAGGAGGAAGCCAAGCCAGTCCTTGACAAGGAGCCAAGCCCAATGAAAGAAAAAGAGCCAAGTTCACTAAAAGAGGAAGCCAAGCCAGCCCTTGACAAAGAGCCCAGTCCGCTCAAGGAGGAAGCTAAGCCAGCGCTCGACAAAGTGCCAAGCCCAATCAAGGAGGAGATCAAATCAGCACTTGAGAAGGAGCCCAGTCCTCTGAAAGAGGAAGCCAAGCCAGCCCTCGAAAAGGAGCCCAGTCCGCTCAAGCAGGAAGCCAAGCCAATCCTCGACAAGGAGCCAAGTCCAATGAAAGAAAAGGAGCCAAGCCTACTCAAAGATGAAGCTGAGGCAGCCCTCGATAAGGAACCAAGTCTAATCAAGGACGAGACCAAGCCATCTCTTGAGAAGGAACCAAGCCCACTCAAAGAGGAAGCTAAGCCAGGGCTCGACAAAGCGCCAAGCCCAATCAAAGAGGAGACTAAACCAGCACTTGAAAAGGAGCCCATTTCTCTGAAAGAGGAAGAGAAGCCAGCTCTTGACAAAGAGCCAAGTCCAATTAAGGAAGAGACTAAGCCAGCCCTCGACAAGGAGCCCAGCCCAATCATGGAAGAGACCAAGCCAGAACTTGACAAGAAGCCCAGTCCTTTGAAAGAGGAAGCCAAACCAGCACTCGACAAGGCGCCAACTCCAATCAAGGAGGAGACTAAGCCAGCCCTTGACAAAGCACCAAGCCCAATCAAGGAGATCAAATCAGCACTTGACAAGGAGCCCAGTCCTCTGAAAGAGGAAGACAAGCCAGTCCTCGACACGGAGCCAAGCCCACTCAAAGAAGTAGTGGTGCCAGTTCTTGATAAGGAACCCAGTCTTCTCAAAGAGGAAGCCATTCCAGCTCTCGATAAGGAGCCAAGCCCACTCAAAGAAGTAAAGCCAGATCTTGACCGGACACCAAGCCCGGTCAAAGAGGATGATAAACCATCTCTTGAGAAGGAACCTAGCCCTCTCGAGGAGGACGCTAAACTGTCTCTTGATAAGGAACCAATCCCGGTCAAAGAAGACGCTGTGCCATCTCTTGAGAAAGAGCTTAGCCCACTCAAAGAAGTAGTGAAGCCAGCCTTTGATAAGGAACCCACTCTCCTCAAAGACGAAGCCAAGCCAGTCCTCGACAAAGAGCCCAGTCTAATCAAGGACGAGACCAAGCCGTCTCTTGAGAAGGAGCCAAGTCCTCTAAAAGAGGAAGCTAAGCCAGTCCTCGACAAGGCGCCAAGTCCAATCAAGGAGGAGACTAAACCAGCACTTGAGAAGGAGCCCATTTCTCTGAAAGAGGAAGAGAAGCCAGCCCTCGACAAAGAGCCAAGCCCACTCAAAGAAGTAAAGCCAGATCTTGACCGGACACCAAGCCCGGTCAAAAAGGATGATAAACCATCTCTTGACAAAGAGCTCAGCCCACTTAAAGAAGTAGTGAAGCCAGTCCTTGATAAGGAACCCAGTCCTCTCAAAGAGGAAGCCAAGCCAGCCCTCGACAAAGCGCCAAGTTCAGTCAAGGAGGAGACCACGCAAGCCCTTGACAAAGAGTACAGTCCTCTGAAAGAGGAAGCCAAGGGAGCTCTCGACAAAGCACCAAGCCCAATCAAGGAGATCAAATCAGCACTTGACAAGGAGTCTAGTCTTCTGAAAGAGGAAGACAAGCCAGTCCTCGACACGGAGCCAAGCCCACTCAAAGAAGTAGTGGTGCCAGTTCTTGATAAGGAAACCAGTCTTCTCAAAGAGGAAGCCATTCCAGCTCTCGACAAGGAGCCAAGCCCACTCAAAGAAGTAAAGCCAGATCTTGACCGGACACCAAGCCCAGTCAAAAAGGATGATAAACCATCTTTTGAGAAGGAACCTAGCCCTCTCAAGGAGGACGCTAAACTGTCTCTTGATAAGGAACCAATCCCGGTCAAAGAAGACGCTGTGCCATCTCTTGACAAAGAGCTCAGCCCACTCAAAGAAGTAGTGAAGCCAGCCCTTGACAAAGCACCAAGCCCAATCAAGGAAGAGATCAAATCAACACTTGACAAGGAGCTCAGTCTTCTGAAAGAGGAAGACAAGCCAGTCCTCGACAAGGAGCCAAGCCCAATGAAAGAAAAGGAGCCAAGCCCACTAAAAGAGGAAGCTGAGGCAGCCCTCGATAAGGAACCAAGTCTAATCAAGGACGAGACCAAGCCATCTCTTGAGAAGGAACCAAGCCCACTCAAAGAGGAAGCTAAGTCAGCGCTCGACAAAGCGCAAAGTCCAATCAAGGAGGAAACCAAGCCAGCCCTTGACAAAGAGCCCAGTACGCTCAAGGAGGAAGCCAAGCCAACTCTCGACAAAGAGCCAAGTCCAGTCAAGGAGGACGCTATGCCATCTCTTGACAAAGAGCTCAGTCCACTCAAAGAAGAAGTAAAGCCAGCCCTTGATAAGGAACCCAGTCCTCTTAAAGAGGAAGCCAAGCCAGCCCTCGACAAGGCGCCAAGTCCAGTCAAGGAGGAGACCACGCCAGCCCTTGACAAGGAGCCACACTCACCGAAAGAGGAGACTGAACCAGCACTTGACAAAGAGCCCAGTCCTCTGAAAGAGGAAGCCAAGGGAGCTTTCGACAAGGAGCCAAGCCCACTCAAAGAAGTAGTTGTGCCAGTTCTTGATAAGGAACCCAGTCTTCTCAAAGAGGAAGCCAAGCCAGCCGCCGACAAGGCGCCAAGTCCAATCAAGGACGAGACCAAGCCAGTTCTCGACAAGGAGCCAAGCCCACTCAAAGAAGAAGTCAAGCCAGTGCCAAGCCCACACAAGGAGGAGACTAAGCTATCTCTTGATAAGGAGCCAAGTCCACTCATGGAAGACACCAAATCAGCTCTTGACAAGGAGCCAAGCCTACTCAAAGAGGAAGTCAAGCCAGATCTTGATAGAGAACCAAGCCCAGTCGAAGAAGAAGTCAAGCCAGCCTTCGACAAAGAACCAAGCCCACTCAAAGAAGTAAAGTCAGCTCTTGACAAGGAGCTAATCATGATTAAAGAGGAAGCCAAGCCCGCCCTTGACAAGGAGCCAAGCCCAGTCAAAGAAGGTGTCAAGCCAGTGCCAAGCCCACACAAGGAAGAGACTAAGCTATCTCTTGATAAGGAGCAAAGTCCACTCATGGAAGAAACCAAATCAGCTCTTGACAAGGAGCCAAGCCCAATCAAAGAAGTAAAACCATCCCTTGACAAGGAGCCAAGCCCGCTCAAAGAAAAAGTCAAGCCAGATCATGAGAGGGAACCAAGCCCAATCGAAGAAGAAGCCAAGCCAGCCTTCGAAAAAGAACCAAGCTCACTTAAAGAAGTAAAGCCAGATCTTGACAAGGCACCAAGCCCAGTTGAAGATGAAACCGAACCAGCTATTGATACAGAACCAAGCCCTGTCAAAGAACTACCAGCTGGTGAAAAGAAAGCAAGTCCACTCAAAGAGGAGGCTACACCAGCCCTTGAAAAGGAACCAAGCCCAGTAAAAGAAGACATTAAGCCATCTTTTGACAAGGTGCCAAGCCTAATCAAAGATGAAGCCAAACCAGCTCTTGACAAGGAACCAAGCCCTGCCAAAGAAGTGCCAGCTATTGAAAAAGAAGCAAGTCTACTCAAAGAGGAGCCCAAACCAGTCGTCGAGAAGGAACCCAGCCCACTTAAAGAGGATGCTAAGCCATCTCTTGACAAGGAGCCAAGCCCTGTAAAAGACGAGGCCAAACCAGCCCTCGAGAAAGAACCAACTCCAATCATAGAGGAAGCTACACAAGCGCTTGACAAGGTACCCAGCCCAGTTAAAGAGGTTGCTAATCCGTCTCTTGACAAGGAACCAAGCCCAATCAAAGAAGATACTAAGCCAGCCCTTGAAAGGGAACCAAGCCCTATCAAAGAACCGCTAGCTGATGAAAAGGATGCAATTCCACTTAAAGAAGAGGGTAAATCAGTCCTTGAAAAGGCACCAAGTCCAACTAAAGAGGAGACTGAACCAGCTCTCGAAAAGGAACTAGCCTTAGAGAAGGAATCAAGCCCGGTTAAGGAGGACATTAAGCCATCTGTTGACAGGGAACCGAGTCCAGTGAAAGAAGATGCAAAACCAACGCTTGACATGGAACCAAGTCCACTCCTAGACGATGCTAAGCCATCTCTTGACAAGGAACCAAGCCCTCTGAAAGACGATGTCAAACCGGCCCTCGACAAAGAACCAACTCCAATCGAAAAGGACGACAAGCCAGCTCTTGACAGGGAATCAAGCACTTTCAAAGAGGTGCCAGCTATTGAAAAGGAAACAAGTATACTCAAAGAGGAGACTAAAGTAACTGTCGTAAAGGATCCAAGACATGTTACAGAGGTGACTGGGCCTGCCTTCGAAATGGATTCAATCTTTTTCCAGAAGGACACCAAGCCAGCCCACGACAAGGAGCCAAGCCCGGTCGAAGAGGATGTTAAACCATCTCTGGACAAGGAACCAAGCCCTATCAAAGAAGTGGCTAAACCAGCTCTTGGCAGTGAACCGCGCCCAGTAAAAGAGGAGGCCAAACCAACACTTGACAAGGAACCAAGTCCATTCCTAGACGACGCTAAGCCGTCTCTTGACAGAGAGCCAAGCCCAATCAAAGAAGAAGCCAAACTGGCACTCGACAAAGTACCAAGCCCAGTCAAGGAAGAGGCTAAGCCAGCCTTCGAAAAAGAATCAAGCCCAGTCAAAGAGGATGTTAAACCATCTTTTGGCAAGGAACCAAGCCCGCTCAAAGAAGTGATAAAGCCACTTGACAAGGAACCCAGCCCAGTAAAAGAAGACACAAAATCAACGCTTGACATGGAACCAAGTCTACTCCTAGACGATGCTAAGCCATCTCTTGACAAGGAACCAAGCCCTCTGAAAGACGATGTCAAACCGGCCCTCGACAAAGAACCAACTCCAACCGAAAAGGACGACAAGCCAGCTCTCGACAGGGAATCAAGCCCTGTCAAAGAGGTGCCAGCTATTGAAAAAGAAGCAAGTTTACTCAAGGAGGAGACTAAAGTAACTGTCGTAAAGGAACCAAGACATGTTACAGAGTTGACTGGGCCTGCCTTCGAAATGGATTCAATCTTTTTCCAGAAGGACACCAAGCCAGCCCACGACAAGGAGCCGAGCCCGGTCGAAGAGGATATTAAACCATCTCTTGACAAGGAACCAAGCCCTATCAAAGAAGTAGCTAAGCCAGCTGTTGATAGTGAACCGAGCCCAGTCAAGGAAGAGGCTAAGCCAGCCCTCGAAAAAGAACCAAGCCCAGTCAAAGAGGACGTTAAACCATCTATTGACAAGGAACCAAGCCCGCTCAAAGAAGTGATTAAGCCTGTTGACAGGGAACCGAGTCCAGTGAAAGAAGACGCAAAATCAACGCTTGACATGGAACCAGGTTCAGTCCCAGACGATGCTAAGCCATCTCTTGACAAGGAACCAAGCCCTCTGAAAGACGATGTCAAACCGGCCCTCGACAAAGAACCAACTCCAACCGAAAAGGACGACAAGCCAGCTCTTGACAGGGAATCAAGCCCTGTCAAAGAGGTGCCAGCTATTGAAAAAGAAGCAAGTCTACTCAAAGAGGAGACTAAAGCAACTGTCGTAAAGGAACCAAAACATGTTACAGAGGTGACTGGACCAGCCTTCGAAATGGATTCAATCTTTTTCCAGGAGGACACCAAGCCAGCCCACGACAAGGAGCCGAGCTCAGTCGAAGAGGATGTAAAACCATCTTTGGACAAGGAACCAAGCCCTATCAAAGAAGTGGCTAAGCCAGCTCTTGACAGTGAACCGAGCCCAGTAAAAGAGGAGGCCAAACCAACACTTGACAAGGAACCAAGTCCATTCCTAGACGATGCTAAGCCATCTCTTGATAAAGAGCCAAGCCCTATCAAACAGGAAGCAAAGCCAGCCATTGATAGGGAACCAAGCCCTGTCAAAGAGGTGCCAGCTATTGAAAAAGAAGCAAGTCTACTCAAAGAGGAGACTAAAGTAACTGTCGTAAAGGAACCAAAACATGTTACAGAGGTGACTGGGCCAGCCTTCGAAATGGATTCAATCTTTTTCCAAGAGGACACCAAGCCAGCCCAGGACAAAGAGCCGAGCTCAGTCGAAGAGGATGTTAAACCATCTCTGGACAAGGAACCAAGTCCTATCAAAGAAGTGGCTAAGCCAGCTCTTGACAGTGAACCGAGCCCAGTAAAAGAGGAGACCAAACCAACACTTGACAAGGAACCAAGTCCATTCCTAGACGATGCTAAGCCATCTCTTGATAAAGAGCCAAGCCCTATCAAACAGGAAGCAAAGCCAGCCTTTGACAGGGAACCAAGCCCAGCCAAAGAAGTGCCATCTATTGAAAAAGAAACAAGTCCACTCAAGGAGGAAGCCAAACCAGTCATCGAGAAGGAACCCAGCCCAGTCAAAGAGGACGTTAAGCCATCTCTTGACAAGGAGCCAAGGCCTCTAAAAGACGAGGCCGAACCAGCCCTCGAGAAAGAACCAACTCCAATCATAGAGAAAGCTAAACAATCGCTTGACAAAGAGCCAAGCCCAATCAAAGAAGAAACTAAACCAGCCTTTGCCAGGGAACCAAGCCCTGTCAAAGAACTGCCAGTTGTTGAAAAGAAAGTAATTTCACTCAAAGAGGAGGCTATACTGACTGTCGTGAAGGAACCAGTTCCAAGTAAAGAAGAGACTGAACCAGCCTTCGAGAGAGAACCTAGCCCTCTCAAGGAGGACACCAAGCCAAGCCTTGACTTGGAGCTAGCTGTTGACAAGGAGCCAAGCCCAGTTAAAGAAGACAAGCTAGCACTGGACGAGGAGCCAAGCCCAGTTAAAGAAGACAAGCTAGCTCTGGACAAGGAACCAAGCCCTGTCAAAGAACTGCCAGCAGTTGAAAAGGAAGCTATTTCACTCAAAGAGGAGGCTATACTGGCCGTCGTGAAGGAACCAAGTCCAACTAAAGAGGAGACTGAACCAGCCTTCGAGAAGGAACCAAGCCCTCTCAAGGAGGACACCAAGCCAAGCCTTGACTTGAAGCCAGCTGTTGACAAGGAGCCAAGCCCAGTTAAAGAAGACAAGCTAGCACTGGACGAGGAACCAAGCCCAGTCAAAGAAGACAAGCTAGCTCTGGACAAGGAACCGAGCCTTGTCAAAGAACTGCCAGTTGTTGAAAAGAAAGTAATTTCACTCAAAGAGGAGGCTATACTGACCGTCGTGAAGGAACCAATTCCAAGTAAAGAAGAGACTGAACCAGCCTTCGTCAGAGAACCTAGCCCTCTCAAGGAGGACACCAAGCCAAGCCCAGTCAAAGAGGATTTGAAACCAGCTCTAGACAAAGAGCCAAGCCCAGTCAAAGAAGACAAGCTAGCTCTCGACAAGGAGCCAAGCCCAGTCAAAGAGGACTTGAAGCCCGCTCTTGACAAGGAGCCAAGCCCAGTTAAAGAAGACTTGAAGTCCGCTCTTGACAAGGAGCCAAGCCCAGTCAAAGAAGACAAGCTACCTCTCGACAAGGAGCCAAGCCCAGTCAAAGAAGACAAGCCAGCTCTTGACAAGGAGCTAAGTCCACTCAAAGAGGTCTTGAAGCCAGCTCTTGAGGCCCCATCAGCCCTTGACAAAGCACCAAGTCCAATATTGGATGATCGCAAGCCTTCTCTTGAGAAAGCACCTAGTCCACTCTTAGATGACCGTAAGTCTCCCTTAGATAAAGAACCAAGTCTGGTTACAGATGACCATAAGTCTCCCCTTGAGAAAGAGCCTACTCCAGTCTTGGATGACCGAAAGCTTTCTCTTGAGAAAGCGCCTATTCCACTCTTAGATGACCGTAAGTCTCCCTTAGATAAAGAGCCAAGCCCGGTAGTAAGTGACCGCAAGCCTTCTCTTGAGAAAGCAGCAAGCCCACTTAAAGAAGAAGCTAAACCATCTTTTGACAAGGAGCCAAGTCCACTTCAAGAGGAAGTCAAGCCAGCGCATGATAAGGAACCAAGCATAGTCAAAGAAGATGCTAAGTCACTTGACACAGCACCTAGTCCACTCTTATATGACCGCAAGTCTCCCCTAGATAAAGAGCCAAGTCCGGTTGCAGATGACCGCAAGTCTCCCCTTGAGAAAGAGCCTACTCCAGTCTTGGATTACCGCAAGCCTTCTCTTGAGAAAGCACCTAGTTCACTCTTAGATGACCGCAAGTCTCCCATCGACAAGGAGCCAAGCCCAGTCAAAGAAGACAAGCCAGCTCTAGACAAGGAGCTAAGTCCACTCAAAGAGGTCTTGAAGCCAGCTCTTGAGGCCCCATCAGCCCTTGACAAAGCACCAAGTCCAATATTGGATGACCGCAAGCCTTCTCTTGAGAAAGCACCTAGTCCACTCTTAGATGACCGCAAGTCTCCCATCGACAAGGAGCCACTTCAAGACGAAGCCAAGCCAGCGCTTGATAAGGAGCCAAGCCCAGTCAAAGAGGTCTTGAAGCCAGCTCTTGAGGCCTCATCAGCCCTTGACAAGGAACCAAGCATAGTCAAAGAAGATGCTAAGTCACTTGACACAGCAGCAAGCCAAATCTTGGATGACCGCAAGCCTTCTCTTGAGAAAGCACCTAGTCCACTCTTAGATGACCGCAAGTCTCCCTTAGATAAAGAGCCAAGCCCGGTTGCAGATGACCGCAAGTCTCCCCTTGAGAAAGCGCCTAGTCCATTCTTAGACGATCGCAAGACTCCCTCAGATAAAGAGCCAAGCCCGGTCGTAGATGACCGCAAGCCTTCTCTTGAGAAAGCAGCAAGTCCACTTAAAGAAGAAGCTAAACCATCTATAGACAAGGAGCCAAGTCCACTTCAAGAGGAAGTCAAGCCAGCGCTTGATAAGGAGCCAAGCCCAGTTAAAGAGGACTTGAAGCCAGCTCTTGAGGCCCCATCAGCCCTTGACAAGGAACCAAGCATAGTCAAAGAAGATACTAAGTCACTTGACCCAGCAGCAAGCCAAATCTTGGATGACCGCAAGCCTCCTCTTGAGAAAGCACCTAGTCCACTCTTAGATGACCGCAAGTCTCCCTTAGATAAAGAGCCAAGTCCGGTTGCAGATGACCGCAAGTCTCCCCTTGAGAAAGAGCCTACTCCAGTCTTGGATGACCGCAAGTCTCCCTTAGATAAAGAGCCAAGTCCGGTTGCAGATGACCGCAAGTCTCCCCTTGAGAAAGAGTCTACTCCAGTCTTGGATGACCGCAAGCCTTCTCTTGAGAAAGCAGCAAGCCCACTTAAAGAAGAAGCTAAACCATCTATTGACAAGGAGCCAAGCCCAGTCAAAGAGGACTTGAAGCCAGCTTTAGACAAGGAGCCAAGCCCAGTCAAAGAAGACAAGCCAGCTCTTGACAAGGAGCCAAGCCCAGTCAAAGAAGATAAGCTAGCTCTTGACAAGGAGCTAAGTCCACTCAAAGAGGTCTTGAAGCCAGCTCCTGAGGCCCCATTAGCCTTTGACAAAGCACCAAGTCCAATATTGGATGACCGCAAGCCTTCTCTTGAGAAAGCACTCAGTCCACTCTTAGATGACCGCAAGTCTCCCATCGACAAGGAGCCAAGTCCACTTCAAGAGGAAGTCAAGCCAGCGCATGATAAGGAGCCAAGCCTAGTTAAAGAGGACTTGAAGCCAATTCTTGACAAAGAGCCAAGCCCAGTCAAAGAGGTCTTGAAGCCAGCTCTTGAGGCCCTTGACAAGGAACCAAGCATAGTCAAAGATGCTAAGTCACTTGACACAGCAGCAAGCCCAATCTTGGATGACCGCAAGCCTTCTCTTGAGAAAGCACCTAGTCCACTCTTAGGTGACCGCAAGTCTCCCTTAGATAAAGAGCCAAGTACGGTTGTAGATGACAGCAAGTCTTATATTGAGAAATCAGCAAGCCCACTTAAAGAAGAAGCTAAACCATCTATTGACAAGGAGCCAAGCCCAGTCAAAGAGGACTTGAAGCCAGCTTTAGACAAGGAGCCAAGCCCAGTCAAAGAAGATAAGCCAGCTCTTGACAAAGAGCTAAGTCCACTCAAAGAGGTCTTGAAGCCAGCTCTTGAGGCCCCATCAGCCTTTGACAAAGCACCAAGTCCAATATTGGATGACCGCAAGCCTTCTCTTGAGAAAGCACCTAGTCCACTCTTAGACGATCGCAAGTCTCCCTTAGATAAAGAGCCAAGCCCGGTCGTAGATGACCGCAAGCCTTCTCTTGAGGAAGCAGCAAGCCCACTTAAAGAAGAAGCTAAACCATCTATTGACAAGGAGCCAAGCCCAGTCAAAGAGGACTTAAAGCCAGCTTTAGACAAGGAGCCAAGCCCAGTCAAAGAAGACAAGCTACCTCTCGACAAGGAACCAAGCCCAGTCAAAGAAGACAAGCCAGCTCTTGACAAGGAGCTAAGTCCACTCAAAGAGGTCTTGAAGCCAGCTCTTGAGGCCCCATCAGCCCTTGACAAAGCCCCAAGTCCAATATTGGATGACCGCAAGCCTTCTCTTGAGAAAGCACCTAGTCCACTCTTAGATGACAGCAAGTCTCCCTTCGATAAAGAGCCAAGCCCGGTTGTAGATGACCGCAAGCCTTCTCTTGAGAAAGAGCCTACTCCAGTCTTAGATGACCGCAAACCTTCTCTTGAGAAAGAGCCTACTACATTCTTAGAAGACCGCAAGTCTCCCCTAGATAAAGAGCCAAGTCCAGTCTTGGATGACCGCAAGCCTTCTCTTGTAAAAGCACCTAGTCCACTCTTAGATGACCGCAAGTCTCCCTTCGATAAAGAGCCAAGTCCGGTTGTAGATGACATCAAGTCTCCACTTGAGAAAACGGCAAGTTCAGTTTTAGATGACCGCCAGTCTCCCCTTGAGAAAGCAGCAAGCCCTATCTTGGAAGAACGAAAACTTTCCCTTGAGAAAGAACCAAGCATGCTCCCCGAAGACCGTAAGCCATCTCTTGAGAAAGCAGCAAGCCCAGTCTTGGACGCCCGCAAGTCTCCTCTTGTGACAGCAGAAAGTCCAGTTTTAGAAGAACGCAAGTCTCCCCTTGAGAAGGCAGCAAGTCCAGTTTTATATGACCATAAGATTTCTCTACCAGAAGATCATAGTTTAATCTTGGAGGAACGTAAACCTTCCCTTGGAAAAGAACCAATCACGTTATTACAAACCCTTGATATGAAGTCAGGTATCATTCAAGAATTGGCTCTAAAAATACCCAAAACTTTAATATCGATGGATGATGAAATAATAAGCCCACCCTTAGAAGAGCCAAGTCCAGTAAAGGAAGAGGCTAAGCCAGCCTTTGACAAAGAACAAAGCCCAGTCAGAGAAGACGTTAAATCAGCACTTGAAAAAGTACCAAGCGCAATCAAAGAGGAGGTCAAACCCGCGCTCGACAAAGAACCAAGCCCAGTCAAGGATGTGGCAAAGCCAGTTATCGACAAAGAACCGAGTCCAGTCAAAGTGGAAACCGAGCCAGCCCATCACAAGGAGCCAAGTCCAGTTAAAGAGGAGGCCAAACCAGCGCTCGGCAAGGAAGAGGCTAAGCCTATTCTCGACAAGGAACCAAGCCCAGTCAAAGATGACTTGAAGCCAGCTCTTGACAAGGAGCCAAGCCCACTCAAGGAAGAGGTTAAGCCAGCCCTTGACAAAGAACCAAGCCCAGTCAAAGAGGAAACAAAGCCAGTCCTCGAAAAAGAACCAAGTCCAATAAAGGAAGAGGCTAAGCCCGACCTTGACAAGGAACCAAGCCCTCTCAAGGAAGAGGTTAAGCCAGCCCTTGACAAGGAGGAACCAAGCCCAGTGAAAGGGGAAACAAAGCCAGTCCTCGAAAAAGAACCAAGTCCATTAAAGGAAGACACTAAGCCTGCTCTCGACAAAGAACCAAGCCCACTCAAAGAAGAGGCTAAGCCAACTCTAGACAAAGAACCAAGCTCACTCAAGGAAGAGGCTAAGCCTGGTTTCGACAAGGAACCAAGCCCACTCAAGGAAGAGGTTAAGCCAACTCTAGACAAAGAGCCAAGCCCAGTCAAAGACGAAGCAAAGCCAGTCCTCGAAAAAGAACCAAGCCCACTAAAGGAAGAGGCGAAGCCCGTCCTTGACAAGGAACCAACCCCGGTCAAAGAGGAGACTACGCCAGCCCTTGATACAGAACCGAGTCCACTCAAAGAGGACGCTAAGTCAAAACTAGAGAAGGAACACAGCCCGATCACGGAGAAAGCTAAACCAGCCCTTGACAGGGAACCAAGTCCAACGAAGGAAGAGGCAAAATCTGGCCTTGATAAGGAGCCAATCCCAGTCAAGGACGTAGCCAAACAGATCCTCGACAAAGAACCAACCCCGGTCAAAGATGACGCTAAGCCTGCTCTCGACAAAGAACCAACCCCGGTCAAAGATGACGCTAAGGCTGCTCTCGACAAAGAACCAACCCCGGTCAAAGTGGACGCTAAGCCTGCTCTCGTCAAAGAACCAACCCCGGTCAAAGAGGACGCTAAGGCTGCTCTCGACAAGGAACCAAGCCCAGTCAAGGAAGAGGCTAAGCCAAATCTAGACAAGGAGCCAAGCCCAGTCAAGGAAGAGGCTAAGCCAACTCAAAACAAGGAGCCAAGCCCACTCAAGGAAGAGGCTAAGCCAACTCTAGACAAGGAGCCAAGCCCACTCAAGGAAGAGGCTAAGCCTGCTCTCGACAAGGAACCAAGCCCACTCAAGGAAGAGGTTACGCCTGCTCTCGACAAGGAACCAAGCCCACTCAAGGAAGAGGTTACGCCTGCTCTCGGCAAAGAACCAAGCCCAGTCAAAGAGGAAGCAAAGCCAGTCCTCGAAAAAGAACCAAGTCCACTAAAGGAAGAGGCTAAGCCAGCTCTTGACAAAGAACCAACCCCGGTTAAAGAGGACGCTAAGCCTGCTCTCGACAAGGAACCAAGCCCAGTCAAGGAAGAGGCTAAGCCAACTCTAAACAAGGAGCAAAGCCAACTCAAGGAAGAGGCTAAGCCTGCTCTTGACAAGGAACCAAGCCTACTCAAGGAAGAGCCCAAGCCTGCTCTCGACAAGGAGCCAAGCCCACTCAAGGAAGAGCCCAAGCCTGCTCTTGACAAGGAACCAAGCCCACTCAAGGAAGAGGTTTCGCCTGCTCTCGGCAAAGAACCAAGCCCAGTCAAAGAGGAAGCAAAGCCAGTCCTCGAAAAAGAACCAAGTCCACTAAAGGAAGAGGCTAAGCCAGCCCTTGACAAGGAACCAAGCCCAATCAAAGAAGACGCTAAGTCGATCCTTGATAAGGAGATAATCCCGGTCGAAGAGGTATCAGCTGTTTATAAGGAACCAAGTCCACTCATAGAAGCAAAATCTGCTCTTGATAAGGCGCCTGCTCATGATAAAGAGCCTAGCCCAATCAAAGATGATACCAAGCCAGCTCTTGATGAACAACCAAGCCTTCATAAGGAAGAGGCAAAGCTTACGCTCGACAAGGCGCCAAGCCCAGTCAAGGAAGACAAGCCAACTGTGGACAAGGAGCCAAGGTCAGACAAAGAGGACTTGAAGCCCGCTCTGGACAAGGAGCCAAGCCCAGTCAAAGAAGAAAAGCCCGCTCTAGATAAGGAGTCAAGCCCAGTTAAAGAAGACAAGCCAGCTCTTGACAAAGAACCAAGCCCAATCAAAGATGACGCTAAGTCAGTCCTTGATAAGGAGATAATCCTGGTCGAAGAGGTGTCAGCTGTTGATAAGGAACCAAGCCCACTCATAGAAGCAAAATCTGCTCTTGATAAGGCGCCTGCTCAAGATAAAGAGCCTAGCCCAAAGAAAGATGATTCAAAGCCAGCCTTTGATGAAGAACCAAGCCTTCTCAAGGAAGAAACAAAGCCTACGCTCGACAAGGAGCCAAGCCCAGTCAAGGACAAGTCAGCTCTGGACATGGAGCCAAGCCCAGTCAAAGAGGACTTGAAGCCCGCTCTAGACAAAGAGCCAAGTCCAGCCAAAGAAGAATGGAAACCCGCTTTGGTCAAAGAGTCAAGTCCAGTCAAAGAAGACAAGCCAGCTCTTGAAAAGGAGCCATGCCCAGTCAAGGAAGACAAGCCAGCACTAGACAAGGAGCCAAGCCCAGTAAAAGAGGAATTAAAACCCGCTTTGGGTAAAGAGCCAAGTCCAGTCAAAGAAGACAAGCCAGCTCTTGACAAAGAGCCAAGCCCAGTCAAAAAGGACTTGAAGCCCGCTCTAGACAAAGAGCCAAGCCCAGTCAAAGAAGACAAGCCAGCTCTTGACAAGGAGCCAAGTCCAGTCAAAGAGGACTTGAAGCCCGCTCTAGACAAGGTGCCAAGCCCAGTCAAAGATGACTTGCCCGCTCTAGAGAAGAAGTCAAGCCCAGTCAAAGAAGACAAGCCTGCTCTTGACAAGGAGCCAAGCCCTGTCAAAGAGGGCTTGAAGCCTGCTCTTGACAAGGAGCCAAGCCATGTCAAAGAGGACTTGAAACCCGCTTTGGACAAAGAGCCAAGCCCAGTCAAAGATGACTTGCCCGTTCTAAAGGAGCCAAGCCCATTCAAGGAAGAAAAGTCAGCACTAGACAAGGAACCAATTCCAGTCAAAGAAGATAAGCCAGCTCTTGACAAGGAGCCAAGCCCAGTCAAGGAAGACAAGCCAGCTTTAGACAAGGAACCAAGTCCACTCAAAGACTCAATAGTTCTTGGAAAGGATCTCAGCCAAGAAAAACAAATTGAAAGTGAGTCCTTAAATGAGAAAGCTACAGCACAAGAGGCACTTATGACAGCTCTCGAAAAATCAAGCCCAGTGCAAGAAATCAAAAAAGAAAAATCTTCAACATCCACAGAACAAAAGACTATAGAAAGTTTGGAGCAAATGTCTGTTTCAGTATTAGAAATGTCTGAAATTGGCAAACATATTGCTAAAGAAATGAGTGAAGCACCTGAAATCATGAGAAAAGACAAGGACATATCTTTGAAACCTGATGAAGACCTTACAAAACTCCCTACAACAATCCCAGGTGACTCACATAGTGAAACTAAAAAGCAAATCGATGAATTAAAACAAATTGATGTAAAGACATTGAAACAACAAATGGCTAGTTCGTCAACGTCTCACACAAAACAAGAAACAAGGGAAAGTCATAGTGTTGAATATAGTAATGGCCACATTTATGATAATGGCCATTCAACTAGTGAGGATCACTCTCCATCTGATGAAACACAAAACAAGACAACACAAGATAAACAACCGTTTAAAAAATTAACGAAACAAACCGAAGAAATGTTAAAACATGAAAGGTTACATGTCTCAAAGTTGGAAACAAGCTTATCTGAGACATCAGAAACATTACATAAAATTAGTAAAAGATCTATCACAGAAAAACAGTCTAGTCATGAGTCAACTGACAAAGCATCATTAATTTCAACAGCTGATAGTGGCATAGACAGAGAAAGCATTACTCAAACTATACTGCACAGTAGTTCTGAGGATGTTTCTAAAGAAGTTAGCTTAGAAGAGAAGTATAGTTTTGAAAGTACGGAAAAGGGCGAAAAGAAATTAGATTTTCACATACGAAAAGAAAAAGGAATAGACTCACTTTCAAAGACTTCAGAATCGATTGATTCTGGTGCTCACAGTATTCTTGAAACTGATGAAACCACAAGGTCTGAAGGAAAATCAGTAGCAAAAACATTAACTGATAGCGCTGCATTCCTAATGGAGTCAATACATAAAGCATTTGACGAAGAATCTGTGCAGCAAGGAATCAAGACTGAAGACTTAGAAACACTAGTTGTTCGTTCAGAATTTGACAGAGTATCAACTCCACCCACTGTGCCAGTTAGTCCATTACCTAAGACACCTAGCAGTTTTCAAGATGTTAAAGTCGGAGAGGCTGTACAAAGTGAAGTTACCTATGATAAGTCTGATGGCAGTGAGGAGACTATCACTAAAGTTGTTCACGTTGGAGACGATGTTCTTACACAAAAAATATCGACGTCAACAGAAAGAGTTCCCAAATCTGAAAAATCCTACACTGTGGATGGAGAAAGCGATTCTGAGTTATTTGCTTTAATGCAAAATATGGGAAAGCTTAAGACAGAAACAGATACAGTTACAAAAATAATAAAAGAGGGTGAAAATGTTGTCACACAAACCATAACGACAGTAACCACTAAAGAAGTATTATCTCGAGAAGATGGTACACCGCAAAACATTAAGACTACAATCGAAACCACAACCTTAAGCAAAGGTTCTGATGGTTCAACAACTACTACAAAAGATACAAAAACATTGCTTTCTGAATGTTCATCTAGCCTTAGATCCACTTCTCAATTGAGTACATACAGCAAAGACTCTAAAGTTGAATTAGACGGCCTAGAAATATCTTTAGAAAAGGTAAGAAGTACACCCAGCGGGTCAACATTAGATCATCTAGATGTTCAAGACGTCGATCATATTGAAGACACGATAGATAAGTCAATATATTCAGAAAGTCATGATTCATATGTGGACCATGAGTCTGAAGAAGAAATAAAAATAGGGGATGAAAAAGATATCAAAGAAACAAAAGTAGACCACGAATCAAGGACGCTTTATGGAGCTGAAGAAAGCGAAGACGTTGACGATGATTACATCGAAGATACTGTGATTGATTCCAATGTCTCTAAACGAGTATACCGTGAGCAAGGTGTTGACATAGTTGAAACTGTCACTGTGATAACAAGACAAGAAACGTTGAATGTAAGTGATTCTCGTAAAGTGATAAAAACAACAACTGAACGTATCACATCTAAAGAATATCCAGATGGTACAATTGCCGTTGGTAAAAATGTTCAAGTTCATAGTGAAGAAGTTGAAGTTGACTCTTGCAGTAACTTAGAAAGTACATTAAGTGAGTATACAGAATATGGTGAGCCAGAAGAAACCGTGACTACACAAACGGAAGAACTTAAACAGGAAAGTTATATTATTAAACGGGTTATTACAACGAAAATTGTTAAGATCAAATATGCAGATAACAGCGGTAATCCTAAGAAATTAAAGACTACGACAACAGTGACAACAACAGATAACTATCCAGATGGATCATCACGTTCAAAAGTTGACACTAGCATCACATTAACTGACATAGACACAGAAAGTGTGAATGATACATCTGAACTAGCAGAATTTACAATTCTAGAAGGTAAATCAGTACAAGTAGATAAACAGGAGAAAAAAAGCATTGTTGAAAGTAAAATTGTTCTCCAAATTATAACAACTACGACTACCAAGGAAATATTTGCATCTACTGATAAAACAAAGAAGAAGTTAAAAACTACAGTTGAAACATTAACAGAAACAAAACGACCCGATGGAATAACCGAAGTTGTCAAAGATTTGAAAGTTACCGTATCCGATTACGATTCTGATATAGTAGAAGATAGTTTAGAAGGTTTCGAAGAAGCTGAAAAACCAGAAACAGATGTACAGGTACAAAACGAGTCTATTAATGAAGGTGGTATTGTTATTAAAAGAAAAATTACAACGACTACGACCAAGCATGTGTTCCAAAACATTAGCAAGAAAACTAGGCGATTAAAAACAATTGTAACAATTGTCACTGAAGATGAATATCCTGATGGTTCTATTGTTACAAAAACAAGTGAAAAGGTATCTTTGACAGATGAATTAATGATGGAACAACATCAAGAGTCTTTGGTAGCATCACCAGTAAGTCATGAAGTTTCAGTTGATGACATTCCATCTAGCGACAGTACAGAAGTAGAAACAACATTGAAAGAATTAATTGAAAGTCAGCCGGAAGAAAGTGAAACCAGTAAGACTGAAGAAATCAAAGAGAAAGATATAACTATTACCAGAACCATAGTTACAAGAATTATCAAAACAAAATATTGTGATTCACAAGGCGCTTTAAAGAAAATTAAAACTGTCACCGTCGTCACCACCTCAGACAAGTACCCTGATGGTTCAATTACGACTACTGTAGACACCAGCACTAAAGTAGTCGATGTTGAGGTTGAAGACTATTTTCAGGCTCAAACCTTGAAAGATTTCACAAAACTTGAAGACAAGACAGTTCATGTTGACACTCAAGAGAAAACTGTGATGGTTGAAGGCAAAAAAGTAAATCAAATAATTAAAACAACTACTACAAAAGAGATATTATCTTCAGCTGTAAGCTCAAAGAAGAAAATTAGAACAACTGTTGAAACTGAAACTGAAACCATGTTACCTGGTGGTCGCTCAGAAATAACAAAGGATGTAAAAGTATCTGTTGCAGATTACGAGGAAGAAGCATTTGATGAAAACTTAGAAGGCTATTCTCTAGTTGGTGAACCAGATCAACAGACAAGTTCAGAAAAACAAACTATCATGGAAAACAATATGACTATTAAAAGAACAACAACTATTACTACTACTAGACAGGAATTAGAGAATACCAAAACATCATCCAAGAAAATTAAGACTACCATTAAAACTGTTGTTGAAGATGAACTTCCTGATGGAACAGTCATTACAAAAACTAGCGAACAAGTTTCCATCGCGGATGTCTTTTTAAGAACACCACTAAAACAAGAAGATGAAACCGTACCACCTGAAACATACGTTGACACTGAGGTGGTTGAAGATACAACTGAGGATTCTGATGTTAAGAATGAAATTATTGAACAGGGAACGGTTAAAATTAAGCGTACGATTACAACAAAAACAAAGAAAGAAACGTTGGCTAGTTCAGATAAAAATATTAAACGAGTTCGAACAACAGTAGAAACCACAACTGTAGATGAATATCCTGATGGGTCAACAGAAACCACTAAAGATGTCAAAATAACAATTTCAGAGTTCCAGAAAACATCAGATAGTAATTTACAAGCTGCTTTACAAGGTCTTTCTTCTACTGGGAAAGTGAAAACATCAGTTGATACGAAAACAAACATCATTACTCAACAAGGCGATAAAATTACTCAAACAGTAACAACTTATGTCACTAAAGAAGAACTAAAGAATAATGAAACCAGTGAAATCGCAGTTAAAACTGTAACTGAAACAGTGACAGAAAATAAAAGGGACGATGGCTCCGTGGAAACAACGAAAGATGTCCGCACGCAAATTACATACTTACCCATTGGTACTGGGTTAGACGACTGGACACCTGAAGAGCTAGAAGAAATTGAGAAGCAACCTGTACAAGAGGAGAAGCCAAAGCTCGATGAGTTGCCCTTAGAAGAAAAAGAAGAGCCGAAGCTAGAGAAAAAAGTTAAAAAGCAACGTTCACCAGTTGGGGACATAACAACAGATACTGAAACGTTTACGAAAATTATCAAGGAAGGTGAAAACGAAATCACTCAGACAATAACAGTAGTTACCACCAAAGAGGTTATAAGCCCTGAAAAAATCAAAGTAACAGTCGAGACTACAACAGTGAGTAAAGGCAGTGATGGAGTCACCAAAACCACAAAATCTACTAAAACCACAATTTCAGAGTTCAAAGAAGAGTTTGAAGAAATTATAGATAGAGGCGAGAGTGAGAAATCATTTTCAAAACATTCCTCAAAAACTGGAGATATGCGCAGTTCATCCGCAGCTAGTGATGACTTTGATCATCCCGGTATATCTACACCTCCGTCAGATATCAGCTCCAGGGGCTCACGGGCTGCAACACATATTTGGGGCACAGAAAGCAGTGGAATGTATTATAGCGACGACGACGGTCAAGGAAGTCCAAGCAGCACAAAATCACAAGTAGCACATTCCCCAAGATCCAATCTAAGCTTTGAACTAGATTCTACGAAGTTACCACAGCAACGAGAATCCAGTCAAGAAATGTTATTTGAAAAGGATTTTGAATCACTTCCAAAAGATCCAATGTCGACCTCCATCTATGGACAGCTGCCTGAAGATGACTCATGCACATCTTCAACTCATTCTGAAGTTAAGACTGAAATTCGTGTAATTGAAGTACCAGTAACAAAAATGACTGAACAATTTTTAGCACAAGAAAAACTTAAATCAGAATTTGTAAAACATAGTAGTAAGATTTCTGATGCAACTTTCTTGAAAGAAGCTGACGAACAGTTTGAAAAAGCGATTGAGGAACACAAAAAAGTTAGCGGCTCACAGGTCATATCGAACATAACGGCTAAATACGAATTAGACGAGCAAAGACAATCTAGCACGAGTCACCAGAAGTCTGTCATGGAAGAAAGTACAATAACACTGAAAGACTTAAAAACAGAGACCAAGAAAGTTTCGGAGTCAAGTGCTTCGTCAAGTAGCAAATTGGAATCTAGGTCGGAGAAATCTGTAGTTACCAGTAAAACTGAGGCTAAAGATCCTATTGAATCTTGGGGTAAACCTTTGGGCTTACCAAGTCCTATCATGCCACCAACTCAATCTGATGGTAAAAGCACTCCCAAGAAACAAACACCTAGTTCTACTGTCCTAAATAAAAATAAGATCAACCAAGAAAAGAGCAAAGAAGCTAAGAATCGGGCTTCAGAGTCGCCAAGCAAAAAGAAGTCACCAGCACCGGTTTATATGGAGCTGACTTACGTCCCCCACCATGGCAATTCTTACTACTCAGCCGTAGAGTTCTTTAAGCGTGTACGGGCAAGATACTATGTATTCTCCGGAACAGAGCCCTCGAAAGAAATTTATAATGCTCTTCTTGATGCCAAGAAAACATGGGAAGATAAAGATTTAGGTATGTTAGAATTACTTTCCCACAATACGAGTATTATCTTTATTATTATTACTGTTACTTTCGTATTATTAACGCATAATTTTCTATTCGTTGCAGAAGTAACTATTATTCCCACTTACGACACGGATGTTCTTGGCTACTGGGTGACTGAGAATGAGGAAGCTTTGGAGAAATACAAGATCGACCTATCGCCATCGGCTTCCCGATGCACCATCAACCTTCAAGATCACGAGACGTCATGTGCGGCCTACAGACTCGAGTTCTAGGTGTCGGGTCTATTTGTGGCCTTCTCATCGAAGAAGTGAGCCGCTCGTCCAGCGACAGATGCTTTTGAAAGGAGGGAAAGAAGAAAACGTTAATTGTTGTAGGAAAAAAATAGGCTGTGATAAAGATGAAAGTATTCAGAAGCATCTCAGCTGCACAGAGCGCACTACTTCGCATGAGATAGTTTGCAAATAGAAACACTTAAAGACTTTGTGATATTTGAATGCAATTAACAGACTGCTAATGAGTTTGATAAAAACGTAGTTAATTATCAGGTTAATTTGAATCAGGAGTTATACGAACCGATCGAAGTGCTGGTGTGTTGTGAGTGTGCGGCGCGGCGGCCCAACGCGATCCCAAACTGACAAAGTCCTTAACCGCATCCAGTTTAAAAGTCAATAACCAAAATCTCGACCTAATAACAAAAACGTCCATTTTTTTCTAAAACTGTTTTCTAGTAGCATTCATTGATAAAATAGAACATGCCATTTAAAATATATTTCTGATGATGTTTTAAAAAATTTGGTCTTATACAATCTGTAGTGCTTTTATACACAATATTTAGCGTAACCAGTCCATTTTGTTTAGCCAAAACACCGCTTATGCGAATATCTAAATTTTGGAAAAGTTATTTTGCTATCGCATTGTAAAATTTTGAATAGATGAATTGTACAAAAACTGCGAGCACGGCCATGTTTGTTTTAGCGAAGCTTTGTATTAAAGGACGTGTTAAATACGGTTCCGGTAGACATTGTGTCAATGAAATCTATGACAAGTGTTAATATAAAATACCTGATGTACTTTTATATGGTCAAAGTTTAAATGTTAAAGTATATTTAACAAAGTCTTTAAAAGGCGCCCCTATAGATTATCAAGTCGCTCCGCAGCCTAGTGCAGCTTGCGCTAGTTTATCGATATTGTTAGGAGTGACATTCTAACAACTGTTGTTACGACTCTAGAACGACAAAGATGACTTCTCTTTTCTATATAAAGAGTTCAAAGCTGTGAATGATTGATAAAGTAAATATTACGTACTTTAAGATCAGCGAAAATGAAGTAATTGTTAATTTTTATTTTAACTCGAGCTTACCTCCATGCAATGGATAAAAAAACGATGGAACGTTCAATCGGAAGCACAAAGAATTAATTTTAAGGATCTGATATAATTTTCAAAGTAGTATGAAAATCCTGCACTTCAAAATACTTTGTTAATTGTAACAAGTCTTTAAACTAAGAATAGAAATGACAAGCTACATGCATGGGCTTGACGAGCCATCGTTTCTCATATTCAATGAAGTGATCTCTGTTTTTCTAGATTACCAATGAGCCTAAAACGATAGAGAGCTTAAACCCATTTAAAATAAATGTTTTAGTAAAACTATTATTACAATTGAACTCTCTATTTACCTTGTTTAAGTTGAAATTTGCTTGTTGCGTCAGAAGTTACTAAAACATAGTTCTAATACATGTTATAAATTTTACTTATTTAAAAATTTAAAATCCTCAAGTGATTATTGAATCTCTGCGTTGTTTATCTAAATATTTGGCATTTTATTTTGTCTGTTATTACGTTGTTTTTTATTTCTAGTCGATACGACCCAAATACTTATGAAGACGTTGTAGTCATAATAATTATTCGTTCCTATTTGAATTGAGTTCTAGCGTTTCTAATATTTTCCAATTGAATGAACCTCAATCCTCATGTAATTATAGATAAAGGTACTCCATTAGAAGATTGTTTTACAATTAAATCGTTATGTTCGTATGATGTGAGCGAATGTGATAATGATGATTCATCATATAATTTACCATCTAGTGAGTAAGATACCTACTGATCAGGGCTTTCCTCAAGTTAAATGATTATTTCTCTATTTAGTTATTGCCAAATGTGAAAAATGATGGTTTGAGTCAATTAATTTTAAGTCATCCATAGTGTTAAGCCGGTCTAATCACTTCTATCATCGCTTTCTTTGCCAACATCCTTCTAAATATAGTTAAAATAGCGAATACATTTCGTATTATCTGAAAGCACCAGCACAATGTATTAACATAAAATATAAACTAAAAATGTTAACAAATAACATAAAATATGGTATTCTATATATTTATTTTTATGTAATACTTTGTAAAAGTACGAATGAGAATTTATTTTATAGTTAATATGATATAGTATGTGTTACTGTGTGTTGTTTGATGTGAGCACAATAAATAATTATGTTTCGATATGTGAGTTCATGCTTTAGGTTATTGTGGATGGGACTAAACAGGGAGATGAATCTTGGATCCAAATGGAAGTCAAAACCAATGTAGCTTTCAAAAGACTGTCTCGCTTGATTTTCCTATTTAGTGGCCAAAGATATTTTTATCAATAAACAGTTTTAGTTACATCGTCTGAGGTTGGATACCTTAACATCCTGAACTAGACTGCAAAAAACCTGCCTCATTTATTTTTAAGGAGAACTCTTCCAGCTTTTGCGGCTTCCTTAGACATTCCTTACAGAAAGATACATTGGTTGGGGCAAAAGAAGCTTTGAGAATATTTTGAATGATTTTAAAATAGGCTTTCTTCTTATTTCAGCCAGCATCCACGACTTAGCTGGCTCTGAAGCCTGACCCAAAAGTTTACTATTGTATTTTATAGCTAGAACTCTAATTAATGCATATTATTAGGAATATTAAAATGTTATTAAAGTTAAGAATTGTATCAGCTTAGTGAACATCAATAGCTCTGAGAAATAAATCATTATTGAAATTATTAAATGGTGTATTCTTCCGGCAGTGGCCGAGTCTAAGGAGTTAGTATTATTTTGAAATATTATTAATTTCTATTGGTTACATTATAAGAAATATACATGATGATAAAAATTACATAGTTTTAGAACATTTAAAATAAGAACAAAATTAAAACTTCCCTTACAAGAACATTACACTTAAAAGTAAAAATGTAATAGGTTCTAGTCATTAATCTGGTGTCATTGAATGATTACTGTCAAATCACGCCTTAAAATTTTATAGGAATAAACAAATGAAAAGTGTAACTAATAAAAGTGAATATAAGTTTTGCAGTAACTTTTCTAGTGAACATTGGCTCAACGATACGTTGATGAATTTTTGCAGTCACGTATTACATCTTTACTTAAAAATACGAGTTGGATTATTTTACTTCGATGATATGTTAATTAGTTCTGTTTCATTTACATAACATTGGAATGAAATTGGGATTGAAGATGTCGGTCGGTAGATAGGTGTAACGCAGTGTATAAGCTTTTGTGGTGCTAACAACAGATGTGCTAGGCAAGTATGTTATAATTGATCGACTTGATCGTATTCTATTTTCCGTATAAATAGGAGCGAATTTTTAAGACAATCGGATGTCACCGATACTGACTAAATTCAAACCTGTTCATATTCGTCCTAATTTATTCGGAAAATATGAGACACGCTTAATGGTTAGGAAGACTGATCGATAGTTTTTATTTATTTAAATATTAATACATTTTGTTTGGTCTTTGATAAAAATGTCAGGAATACACAATACGCGGGATTCCATATGCTGTTAGGCTTAGCTCTAACGGACATGTTTAATAATTTAAATAATGATGCTATACTTTAAATGGATCTAGGTATTTGTAATGATTACTGTATTATGTAAAATTAAAGTAAACATTCATTGTATCAGTCATGTCGCTATTCTCCATTCAGCGTGTTTGATGAAATTGTATGACTCATTAAAAGTAATAAAAATATTAAAAGCGTTATCATTCTATTATTTTAGATGAAATTAGAGACCTTAAACCTTAGATAAAATATCATCGCAAACCAAGGGCAATAGAAAATTATTAGCAAAGCAAAAATTTAAAGTTAATAAGTACAGAAAATAATGTAAAGTTAGCAAAAAGTTATCATACATAGGTATAACTAGATTATAATAAAGGATAAGAAATAAATAGTCACCACAATGCAACGGTAGTGGATACTTTATTCCTTGATTTTGCAATGACTAACAAACAAACACGCACACCAAATAAGATTATCATTCTCATGGTTGGTACCTACCAACAACTTTATTAGGTATTCACAATTTTAAATCAAAAATTAATTAAAATAAATACACATTTTAATTGAATCACAATTATGTACCTACCTACAAAAAATACCTGAAGGCAATAATAGATACTATCGGTAGTTTAGAAAATAATTAGACAAAATATCTTTATTGAATAGAAACACATAATACTTATTAGTACTTACATACTCATACTTCATATGAATCAACAAAACTACATAATATACAGGGTGGCGCAATAGAACGTGCATATTGCATCATTTTTTTTTGCGGGGTAGAAGGGGCGTGGGCGAGGGGTGACCGATATCGTTGGGTAGCGCGGTTCATGAAGTTTTAGTCACTATGAGTCACTTCGACGGGAAGCGTCGCGCATTTTGCGTGCGCGCATTTTACGAAAACTCTCGTTCGTACGTAGTTGTCAGGCGACTATTTTGTTCTGAGTATGGTGTACGGCAAATTAGGGAGGCTCCGAGTGCTAATTTAATTAAAATCTGGATAAAGCGGTTTGAAGAGACTGGATCGACGTTTAAACCACACGCAAAAGGTCGTCCACGCACATCTAGGACCGAAGACAATATTGAGAGTGTTAAGCAGTCGGTACGAGAAGATCCACAAATGTCTACTCGCAAGAGATCGTCTGTCCTAAACATATCGCGACGAAGTTTGCAACGAATTTTAAACTTGGATCTTAAATTGCATCCATACAAGCTGCAATTAACTCAAGAATTGAAAGACTCTGACTTCATAGCACGGCTCACATTTGCTAATGAAATGCTCAATCGGTTTTCAAATTTTGAAAACATCCTTTTCTCTGATGAGGCACATTTTCATATGAATGGGTTCGTAAACCGCCAAAATTGTCGTTATTGGAATAGTGAGAATCCCAGACTCAAACATCAAAAACCGTTACATAGCCCTAAAGTGACAGTTTGGGCCGCAATCTCTGCCAAAGGAATAACCAGCACTACTTAAGAAAGTTTTCGGTAATTTCCGTTTGCGGTTAGAGGAGTGCCAACGTAGAGAGGGTCATCATTTAGATGATGTTATTTTAAAAAAATAAACTTCAGTTATCACTTAATAATTGCTTAGTTTTATTTTAACTATACCTTTTGTATTTATTTTTTAATAATTATTTTAAAAATGCACGTTCTATTGCGCCACCCTGTATAAAAGACATCAAGCACAAAACTATCACGACGTAGCAAAAACAAACAATAATAATATAATTTCATTTTTAGCGAGGAAATAATTACTTAAATTAATTTTAATGTATTGTGTTACTTTATTAAGGACTAGATTGTGTATTAACGATGCTCGTTAAACTTAAATAATCGGTGTTTAAAACGTTTACATGCGCAGGGTTATAAAATCTGAGACTCACTGTATTTGTGTCACTTACCAATTGTTTTGTATCCCTAATTTTAAAAATATTTGTAATAAACAAAATTAAGTTATTAGTGCGCAAAATTAGAACCACTGCGATAGTAAAATTTCTAAATTAAAAGCACAAGTTTTAGATTTGCGCTATCAACATTTTTCATTTCTAAGTTTTTGGTATTTCTTACAAGTTTACACTGATTGCTACCTATTTTCACGGTCGCAACAAAACCTACTCTATTCATCACTTAATTCTTATAATAATATGCGTCACCATTCATTTTCATTACTACTACAAAAAAGAAACGGTTTATTTTTTTCTTAAAACCATCAGAATTGATAGATTTTGGCAACTCTATCGTTTCTTTATTACCTAATTTAAATTATAAAGTTGGTTTTTATCACTTATTTTATAATTTGCATTTCAAGTTATAATATTTTATCTTACTTTTTACTATTTGTATTTATCACTTTGTACTCTTTTGTTATTTATTAATTATCTTCCTACTCCTGTTAGAGCACGAATCTTTATGTCAAATATTAGTGATAAGAATAGACCAATATCAATGGAATGATAACAATAAAGTTGGAATGGCACTGGGATAGTCACATCTGAGCTTAACAATAACTCGTCTCAACTAGTCTACTATTGATAAATGTTACTCAGAAGTAAAAAGAGAGAAGAAAGTAGTCGAGGCCATATCGATATCGATAAAAAAATTATATCTCGCCACAGCTAAACCAAAGCCGTAACATAGTTCAGGATATAACGTCCGTCAGTGGACCAACGATAGTGTACTATCTTCTGAACCTCAAATCGTCGGGTTTCCTGATGAAGTACGCAACTCGGTCGATTGGCACTCTATACTCGTGCATCCAGCGGTTGCCTTTCCGCAGCGATCCGTCGATTCCGTCCTGCCACAGTCCAGCTGGAAGGTACACTGCAGAGAATATAACAGACAATAAGTATAAGAACAAAAACATACCCTCTCATCTTCCTCTCTTGACTTTGATACCCTCTTTTCAACCGACTTCAAAAAAGGAGGAGGTTCTCAATGGGGATGTTTCCTGGGTCAAAAAGCAAGAGTTTTAATTAGTCCGTCAGTTAACTTATCAAAAAATACACAACACGTATTTTTCACTTTTTCAAACTAATGAAAATTTAAAGAGATAAAGCGCCCCAAAGTTCATAAGAAGAGGCCCGTGACGTCAACGCTTGCTTAAAAATGCCGCACGTTGTGACGTCGTGCGCAACTTCAACGCACCATAACTATGTAATTATTTGTTAGATTGACAAATAAAAATATATGTATCCAATATTTTTTGATATTAAACATTACGGACTAAAAAAATTTTTTTAGGCAACTAGCCTATTCGACCCGTATGTTTTTTTTTTCTATGTTTGTTACGCGATAACTCCGCCAATTATGAACCGATTTGAACAAATCTTTTTTCGGCGTATAGGTAATACCTCAAGGGTGGTCCCATTTAAATTTAATAATAGAAAAAACAACCCCCAAGGGTGGAAAATTGGGGATGAACTTTTTTATACGCAATATCTCCGCCGATTATAAATCAATTTGAACGATTATTTTTTTGTTGAATAGGTATTATCAAAAGGGTGGTTTCATGCGAATTTGAAGAAAATATTTCACCCCCAAGGGTGGAAAATTGGGGATGAACTTTTTTATACGCAATATTTTTAATTTTTTTTTTTTTTTTTGTGTTCACGCATTTGAAGTCGCTTTTATTTTTTTTAAAAGTTAATTATGTATTTTATCTCTTTTCTTTACCTTCTCTAGTAGTCTGTCCCTGATGCAGTACTGGTGCCACGACGATCTCGTCTCCAATAGCGAACTCGTCTTGAACCAGGAGCGCGGCGTCTCCACCGGCCACCAGCCATAAAGGACGGATCAGAGGCAGGCCCTCTTCTAGTGCCTCTCGCTTGTACTTCAATAGAAGGGGCGTGACCTGCAAGGAATAATGTTTAATTGATTATTATTAGACTATTTGTTGCACACTAAACAAAACAGGCATATAAAAGAAATACAAAAATAAAGTTAGTCATACTGAACTGTTTTTCTAAATCTACAGTTTGTTGGAAAAAGAAATAATTTCAAATACTAAAATTATTACCGTTACTCTAAGGCCCAAAACAGACGGTGAAACGCAACTGCAACGAAACTGCAACTTTCTGATGATTCTGATGAATGAAACTGAAACTGAAAGTTTCAAACTGGTCGCGTCATGTATTGTGTGGTCTCTCAACGGACGCTATGGCAGAAACTTAGATGCAACTCAAAAGTAACTAGCAGTTGCAGTTTCGTTGCAGTTGCGTTTCACCGTCTGTTCTGGGCCTAAGACGGTCATAAAAAGAATATAACTAAAGATTTATTTATTTATTTTTATTTATTTAGGAAAACCAGGGTTACTACATACTACGTACTACACTACTATAATATACTATGTATACCTAAATAAAAAGTATTGGAAAACATTGCCAAAAAGAAAAACAATTTAGCTGTCCTTAAAAAAACGGTCGCCTAGCTTTCTCCTCGCCACAGCAATGCTAGTACAAAATATGTCGATGTTAGTCTCCTTGACAAATTCTTTCAAGTTCCTACTCGCCCGCCAGAGAAAACTATTTTGCCTGTAGTTAGAGTCTACCTTGGGGATGTATAGTGGATCATTATTGCGCAGAATTCTTTTTGCAGCATTAAATTGAATTTAAAACAACTCACCAATTTCTGCCGTAATGACGTCAAATTCTTCGCCATTTCCAAAACGCGTTCGTCGTTGTATTTGCTCGGCAAGTGCGTGAACTTCATCACTGGCAAGAACGTGGCCATCTGCAGCCATCGCATGTACAACTCTCTCTCCGGCAGAGCGATGCCATTGTCTTGGGTGCTGTTTGTTATGTTCAAATCTATCGACCCCTTTGGAGAAGGCAGGAACTGCTCGCTACCTGGCCAGTAAATGTCTCCGCCTACAGCCCCTGGCATAATAAACGGGAATCCATTAATCCCGTAGGTGAGCATTGTAGGGATGACCAGCCGTAACGCTTCCCATGTAGATTCTAAAGGCGGCAGTGATACAAATATCGGCGGTCTCGGCAAAGACACCGCCGATGACACCCCTATCACACTCAAAGTTTTCTCAAAAGTCTTTGTGAAGTGTGTTTTATATTGGTCCGGATTGACTAACTTCTTTTCGCACTGATAATAATGAGGTAAATCGTACGCTAACCCGAGATCGAAATAAAAGGAATCTATGTGGTATTTGTCGATCACAGTTTGCAATTTGTTCAAAATCCATGGCACTGATCTTTCATTCGTTATGTCCAAGACAGCAGCACTAGCCAATGACTTGAATCTCGTTAGTGCTGGTATTCTTCTGTCGCTATTTCTTTCACTAATTAGCAATCTCTTTTGAACACATTCCGCAAAGTTCACACTCTCAGTGCTTATAAAAGGCTGCACAGTAAATGCAACTTTAAAACCTCGTCTGTGCAGTTTATCTACTGTAGTGTTTAAAGTTTCAAATCTGCTCGTATCTACAGCCAGATCACCGATTTCGTTTTGCCAAAATTCGTTGATGAGCACGTGCCCTTGTTTTAAAAATCCTAAATTTATGACGTCCTCTGTATATTTCGAGATGGTTTCAACTTGAAGTTCATGCTTAAATCGTGGTGCAATTTGCCATACCGGTTCAGAGATCAGAAACTCTAGAGTCTGCATATCGGCAGGCTTTAGGCCGTCCCACAGCGGAGCACTTCTGTGGCTATGGATTGATGAATGTAGGGACTTCATGTCTTTCGAGGTACAGATGTTATATTTCATTTCAGCGTAATCTGTTAATTTGTTCGCGTAAGCAAACTCATCATATTTAGCTTTGAGACATATTTCTTTGGATTTCGCATTAACAGAAACGTACAGCGGGGTTTCTTCATCAATGATGAGGGCTGCTCCTTTGGAGTTGATTAAGTACCTAGTCAGCACATTACCCCACTGTGCCTTGTGAATGTCTCCGGTGACGAAAGGGGTGTAGTTAATAGAACCATTGTTTAGGGGCCAAGTAACGTTGATGGACTGTCCTCCGCCATACCAGTGCACTTTGGTGTCGCTCCAATCGAAACAGTCGTTGGGGGAAACATCTGAAACATGAAAAGACATAAATAACAGTTTTGACATCAGTTCCAAAAGACAAAAGAAAAATAATTCTAAACAAGTACCTTTCTATCTGCAGAATATACTTTTTTTTTGTCAGGAAATGCATGAAATTGCATATCCAATGGCCCGGGAGAACCAGTGGGTTATGTGAGGCTCTCCCTGCCAGATGGGCAGGGCTTACTCACTAAAACCTGACGGTGTCTTCCCAAAGTCATTGGGACGGAACTGCGAGTTATTGTCCGAGCTGGACGGCCTAGCCTTAGACATTCGTTCGCGGCTCCGCCCCAGACTGTGGCTCGCTCTGTTTGAGCAAGCGACGACTGGCTTCAGGGGAGTAGTCCTTCTTTAGCGGCCACCAAACACCCTGCAGTCTAGGCCAAGGACCCTTAAGAGAGATATGCCGAAGATACTGTTATTACTTACCGTGACTCAAAGACTTCCAGTAGACCTCGTAGCAAGTAGTGTTGTCCACAGCTGGATCGTGAGGGAAGCTCCTGAGGAACAGACGCAGGTGCCTCCGGTAACTACGATGAAGAGCGACGAAGATACTGCTATTACTTACCATGGCTCAAAGACTTCCAGTAGACCTCGTAGCAGGTGGTATTATCCACCGCTGGGTCGTGGGGAAAGCTCCTGAAGTACAGACGCAGGTGCCTCCGGTACAATGAAGAGCGACGAAGATACTGCTACTTACCATGGCTCAAAGACTTCCAGTAGACCTCGTAGCAGGTGGTATTATCCACCGCTGGGTCGTGGGGAAAGCTCCTGAAGTACAGACGCAGGTGCCTCCGGTACAATGAAGAGCGACGAAGATACTGCTACTACTTACCATGGCTCAAAGACTTCCAGTAGACCTCGTATCAAGTAGTATTGTCCACAGCTGGGTAGTTTCAGAGGTACAGATGCAGGTGCCTCCGGTACGACGAAGAGCAACGAAGATACAGCTACTACTTATCATGGCTCAAAGACTTCCAGTAGACCTCGTAGCAGGTGGTGTTATAAACTGCTGGGTCAAGAGGGAAGGTCTTGAGGTACAGACGCAGATGCTTCCGGCACGACGAAGAGACTGCTATTACTTACCATGACTCAAAGATCTCCAGTAGACCTCGTAGCAGGTGGTTTTGTCCACAGCTGGGTCATGGGGGAAGCTCCTGAAGCACAGACGCAGGTGCCTCCGGTACGATGAAGAGCGACGAAGATATGGGGGAAGCTCCTGAGGTACCTCCCGCACAACGAAGAGTGACGAAGATACTGCTACTTACCATGGCTCAAAGACTTCCAGTAGACCTCGTAGCAGGTGGTGTTATCAACAGCTGGGTCATGAGGAAAGCTTCTAAGGTACAAACGCAGGTGTCTTAACCACTCGAGGCATACGGAGCCGTCGCTGCGGTGGTGCTCCGGCAGGCACGGATACACCTCGCCTTTGCCGGGAATGCTCACCGCTGGTGAATAATTATCATTATTAGGTCATTACAGTACATCTAGAGCTTACCATTAGGTCATACATCTAGCTGTGGAGTTTTGTAATGCCACCTGGAGGGAAAGTACTCTTAATACTCTAGATCAGTGGTTCTTAACCGGTGGTCCAAGGACCACTGGTGGTCCCTGAAGGCATTCCAAGTGGTCCACGAAGACATCTCGATGAGTCGAGTCAACATAATGCAAACGGCGCACAGTTGAAAAAAAAGTGGTCCCTGACATCACAGAAATTTGGTAAAATGGTCCCTGGTAACTTAAAGGCTAAGAACCACTGCTCTAGAGAATTTTACTCAAAGAAAACATTCCTTTATTTTTGAAAATAAAAAGAACTGCATTTAAAACTTTCCAAAAAATTGCTTGCCACATCCGGGAATGAAACCAACTAAAATCTGTTAAAAATTACAGCCTATATTTTTATTGCATCGATCATTAGGGTTAAGTGTAAGGATGAAATCTCTCTAACAAAAAGGAAAACCATGAAATCTTAAATTATTTTAATTATTTACAGAAAATTGTATGGTATGGTGGGGAATTATGGAATTTTTTTCAATGTAATTCTCTCAGTTCAGTAAATTGATGTGCTGAAGGCAGTAATCCTATGTAACATAGACTCAAATTAAGGTTTTGATGTCCTTTCATCATCATCATCATCATCATTTCAGCCATAGGACGTCCACTGCTGAACATAGGCCTGATGTCTTTTATTAAAATAGTTTTTGTTTATTTATTGTTTCACGCACAAGAGAATCACAAGTATTATTAGTGCCTTTTTCCTGTGATGCGGATAACGGCACGCTTCTGGTCCGAAATCCGCATTAAAGGAAAAAGGCACTTAAGGCCTAATAATAAAACTTACCCAACCTAGCCTTCAGTATCTCCACCTCATCGCTGTTAAAGATCCTGACCAGCCGCTTCGGTTCATTGAACTGTACACTAGTAAAGTACGCCTTGGTGAGCGCTTGCTGGTGGTACAGCACATATGCGAATCCCACGAAGAAGGCCACGGCTAAGAACATCAGACCCACGAAGGCACGCAGCTTGTAGTCTGTCGGCTTCTTGCGGATCTTTTGGGGAATGCTCTGGGTAGGAAAATGATGAACTATTAGAAGCGATTCAGAGATCAAGCAATATTTAATCAAAGGCCTGCTAAAGTCTGTTCGCCGAGAGTTGATAAAAAAAAATATCAGAGGTTCTAAACTCATTATAAATTGCGGCCCGCTAATTATTTTTGTCGATATAATGAAAAAGTTGGTAGATTATTTGGCCTGGCCTTTTATTTGGCCTGGATTCTCGGCTCTATTTAATTTTGGACTACCATTTATAAAAATGTTCTAAAAATACCAATTATCTACCAAAATCTACTAAACGATTTCGCACTACTAAATCATCGTTCTCTTTGCCTGAAATCTACCATAAAAGTAGAAATCTACTAAAAGTGGTCACGCTGTGGCCGCGCCGCCCGCCGCGGCCGGGGCGCTGACGACAGCTGCGTGGCTCGTACCATGGTACTCAGTGCGCGTTGTGACAAACGACGCCCGCCATACAGAATGCGATAATTAAGCGACAGTCGCTATTGCAAGACATTTCATAATATTGATCAACTCTCGGCGAACAGACTTTATACACGGACAGCTTGAAGCAGTTAGTGTCGCCAGCTTCAAGCTGCGACTGCATAGCAAACTACTGAAACAGTTGTAACTGCTCGAGCGGTTTCGTGTATGTGTGTACGTAGTGTGCTGTAGTTTGCTATGCAGTCGCAGCTTGAAGCTGTCGGATACTAGCTGCTTCAAGCTGTCCGTGTATGGCGGGCCAAAGAGCTCTATGTGAGTATGTAAAAAGTCAGGTATCCTTCCGTTTGGCCAAATTACTTTTCGCCAAATTTCACTTCGCAAACAACTTATCGCCAAAGTTTCATTTCCCAAATGAACTTTTAGCAACTGTACTTTTCGCAACTAATTCATTTGGTCAAATTATCATTTGGCCAAATTTTACTTGGCAAATGTTTATATAGCAAATGTTTTATGTTGCCAAATATTATATCCCAAATAATTTGTTTGGTCAAATTGACACTTCACATACTTACCCACCGTTACCTACCCACAAATCAAAGCATAAGGCACATGATCATGGTTTTCACAATAATTTTATGTAAAACATTGCAGAAAATAGTATTGTTGTAAAAAGTAGGTATGGCAGAAAATAGTAGGTTAGGTTAGGTTAGAACAGTGACCCTTAATGCGCGAAGGCGAGCGAAGCGTGCCGCGGCAGCGGCCGCCGAGCGCTAGAATCACCTATATTGTTAATGAATCATTTGGAAATTTCGATACAAATAATGAAATAAGGAAATTAATGTAGAACAAATTTTATATTAACTACCCACTAAACATAATAATAACCACAAGCTAATTTGTATACCATTCTATGCACCAATCAAATTATTTTGTAAATAGTTTATCGTGAAATATTTTTGCCTAATGAAACATTTGGAAAACCATACTTTGCCAAACAATAATTTGCTAAACAATAATATGCCAAAAAAAACATTTGCGAATTAAAAGTTTGCAAAAAGTTGCTTTGCCAAATAAGAATTTGCCAAATGAAAGTTTGCGAAACGTTGTTTGCGATGTGATAATTTGGGAAACGTTTTTTGGCCAAACATTAGTAATCCAAAAAGTCATTTCGTTCGTTCCAGCCAAAAGACTTCCACTGCTGGACAAAGGCCTCCCCCAAGGATTTCCAAAAAGACCGGTCCTGCGCCGCTCGCATCCAGGCACGGCACCTCCGGCGACCTTCACCTTCAAAAAGTCATTTAAAGCCAACAAAACGTTCACATAATGTTCTAGCGGCTGTTTCACTAAGATGATGTACCAATCTGAGCTGAGATTATTTCTCATTAATTTCGTGATTGCTCTAATAACCTCATTTAGTTAATTACGACGAGGAAAAGGGAAGAAAATACAAGCCAGAACGAAGGTTGTAATCGATAAATTAAATTTTTTGTCGTATAAGTAATGAGACCAATACAATGTAACTATTTAGTACTCGATGGAGCCCCTGATTTATCTAAACCATTGATTGGTTAAAACCCCCGGGACTACTTACTCACCTTTCATTAGTTGGTTTCCTTGGAGGCCAAGTTGTAGATCTTGGTTATACAGTCGCAGTCGTGGGAAAGAGAGGTGGAATAAGTTCCGTATATCGCACCGCAGTAGTTGTAAATGTGGTGTGGTACCATAGAGATATAAAGAGATGCCAACTAATGCGCTGAGTTCGAAACTCAGTGTCGCATAAAGTTGCATTAGAAATTCACACACACAAAGTAATCAAAATATGTGCTCATTATCCACTGCGGTCTCAGTACTCAACGTTCTAATATATCTTTAGTACTACGCAAGCAATGTAAACTGTTTACATTATGACGTCGCTGCTGTCATCATTACTGTCAGGAGCAATGTGTTCTGTTTTTGGGCATATTGCTGCGACACCGGCCCCGCCCCCTTTTTTTATGTGACAGGAGGCAAACGAGCAGATGGATCACCTGATGGTAAGTGATTACCGTCGCCCATAGACACCCGCAGATCCAGGGGCGTTACAGGTGCGTTGCCGGCCTTTAAGGTGAAGATACGCTCTCCTCTTGAAAGCTTGCAGGTCGTATCCGTCCGGAAACACCGCAGACGACAGTCCATTCCACAGTTTGGTGTCCCTTGTCACATCTCCCTTTAGTTTCTGTGATCTGTGGGAGCATACATCCCGCAGCGTGTACTGACCTGCAGCTTCTCCCGCAGCAGGCTGGCGAGCGAGTTGACGGACGTGACGGAGTTGCTGGGCGAGTAGTCGTCGTCGTCCATGCTGAACTCCGAGCGGAGTCGGCGCGGCCGCCTCGGCGAGCGTAGGGGAACTCTGCGGACAGACGAAACTTTTAAGTAATTTTTAGATATTGGGCTTTGAGATGAAGTCGCGAAATCGTGATGCTGCATCGATGCAATCTCAGAATCGGTAATCGCCGATGCAGAAAGTAGCCCTTTAATGGTGTAGTGTATGACACACCTCTCCTTAGGCATAGTTATACTTATAAGTTAGCTGTAAGCCATTTTAAAGTAGTATTAAACCGATCGTCGACGAATTAACATCTTTTATTCCATCTCCTTGGTCCCCACATTACATGGCGACCCTGCCAGTGCTGCCTTAGGGCAGTGCTGTGCACATAATTATTATAATGTGAAATGTGATAGTGAAAAATGGACTAACAATTTTAAAGTCGAACAATTAATTTGAAATGATGCGGTAAATAATATCTACGAAAAATAAATCAAGTGCGTTGGAGGAGACATTTTGATAGCAGCCGGGCGATGATGGTGCTCAAGGTTTTTGAAAATGAAGCTGAACTAATGGAATAAAGGCGAGTTATGCTGGGTGCCGGGCGATGGTAGGAGTCCGATGTCGATGATGTTTGTTGCTGGGCGCTGGGTGTTGTTGGAGCCGTGACGATTGTGGTTCCCGCCGGGAGTGTCATGCGTGTCAATGGATAAGAAGAGAAGACGCAGTTTCGAAAAACTCAATGGAGAAGACACTGCAACCCCATTGTATACTTTTTTTTTTTTCTTTTTCCCTTAATGGAATTTTATTAATTTAACTTTTACGTGGCCACGCTAAGTTACCTAGTATGTACGCTAGATTATTATATTACGGTAAATGAGAATGGACGGATCAATTCTATTTTCATGATTATGCTATAATTAATACTTAAATTTTGGTAAATACAAACAACGTAATTTTTTTTTTTGCTTCACTGGAATTAACTAATTTTATCAACATAGATTGCTGCTCTACGACAGTAAAATTACTCAAATTTTATTTTAAAGGTAAGTGATATGATTAATTATTCATTCCATTACTCCATTAATCCTATAAATACTTACTAACTTTACATACTGTGATTATTGCATTTTGAAGTAGCTCTACACGTCAGGAATAGCGATAGGTTAAAATTGCTGATTGGATGAAATGTTATTTTTAGATGCCTGTACGAATATTATGATGTTTTAAACAAAGTTCTAGATTTTTTACTTCTTTAAAAATATTTATTTTGGCAAAGTAATTTACAAATTATTATATTGCGAAAATAAGCTTTTACTTCTCATTTACATCTTTACAATCAATGTTATTTTGTTAATAAACATTTTTCATGATTTTACCCCATTAATAATAATAACATACGACAATTCGTAAAATTATTTAAAACAGTTAACAAGTAGTAGATAAAGTTATTTTATTTATTCATTTAAATTATGCTTGATTCACAACAAATCAGTTATAGTTAGTTTGTTTTCATATTTCTAAATGATTCCAAAAGTTACATTGAAATAGAGGTAAAGTCCATTGGCTATTTATTAAAGTAGGTATGATGCATTTATTAACTTGATGAAATATGAATTGTTCATAATATTGAAATTATTTAATTCATTTTAATCTATCCTTAGTACACGTTACATGTAGTACACACTTACAAAATTATTATTTTATGTGGTTAAATTTGTGAACATTTCGTGGGTTCAATCCCGCCTGAGGCAATTAGTTTTTTTTTCTCTCAAAGATTTAGGTTAATTTCTCATTTATTTCTTTAACACATTAGGTATTATTTGCACAGTTTGCATACAAAATACATGATGTTACATAAAACTTTTAATTTGGTTTTCTCAAATTTAAATGTAAAAAATGTATTGGCGTAAGTAATTAGGTACAATCGGATTTGCAATTTTTTTAAGTAACAACTCTTTTTAGGCTTTCAATTATTCAAGATTGTAATATCCAATAATTACAATGGTCTTAAATGTCTCTTGTGGCCCTTAACCCTTTAAATGGTATAGAGAAAATATTTTTCATTAGTTTTGTACCTTATGTTTTCTCAATAAGGTTCAAAATATGGTGGCAACAATTCTGCCACTACCAGGTAAAGGTTTGTTTAATCGTCTTATGCCATGCTCCCGATACATGCACGAAACGGGAGCCTCAACCTCAAAATTAAGGGCCTTAACACAATATTGTCATTTAAATTAGCTACATAATATAATGTCAAGATAATAATGATAATATCGGTTTGTCACGTCATGCTAGAATGTTTGAATCTAGGCTATGTATACCTAATACCACTAATACCCACATTTTCCCACCAATTTATGCAAACAGAATGACGATTCAGCCAATGTAGAGCTAGCTTCAAAAGGGATGGATGTTTTTTTAGGTTGAAAGTAAAGTGGAAGATGGAGACGTCACTTTCGAACTTATTTTGATAATTTAATAGTTAAAAAGTTATTCAACTTTTAACAAAACAGGTTATAACTGCTCGATTTGTAGCACTTAATATGAGCATTACTATCGTATTCCTTGTGAGTCATCCCGGCGGTATGAGAGCAATTTTTTCGCAATTCCTGGAACCTACACACGCGGTAACGGAACTCGGCTCAGCCGGAATCCACAATTGAGTCGTCGAGTGCAGACACTGAGACCCATTGACCGTGCATGCATGTAAAATTTTAGTGTGCCTAGTTGTCTCTACATTATTTATAGTATGTAATTTAATTTTCCAGGTCGTCGTAGAGTTCAGCAATTAACAAGCAATTATTGACATCGATCGATCTGTTGATATATCCAATGAAGCGGATAAAGATAAATATTATTACTACAATGTGAAATAATCAAGATATCACTAACTAGAAGCGCAGATTTATTTTCCTTTGCAAAATCCAACCACAAAAAAAATTAATAGCCGAAATTTTACCGAGTCATTGAAGACAGACACCAATTTAGCCGGTTAACCAAAACAAATAAATATCTTAATAAAACTGTGATATCTTAATCTTGAAGCCGACCTCAAGATAAGTACCACGCAGGTCGCAGTCACACAGCTAATACCTGATGCTAATTCCAAAAGACAGAAGGTTCAAAATCGTGTGAAATTTCAACTCATACGCAGTGCTAATGAGGAAGCGGCAAAGTGAATAAAGTGCATAAGTTACGTCGCGCGAAATTTCATAATCTTGAACTTGAGATGAGGATGGAGTTTACAAATTTAAGAAGGTAACACAGTGGTTTACGATGTCGAAATATTAAAATAAGCAACATGAGAGCCTTGACGAAAGGCTTGTAATTTTTACCTCTGCCAATGTCAGGGCTTATTTTACAATATTTTTTTAAATGTCTTCGGTAATTATTAAAAAAAATATGGTAGAGTCCAGAAAAAAAAAATATTTGTAGTTTATAATCCAACAGCCTTCTTTATGCATGGCGATCATACTTTTCATTTTTCCCTTGAGAGATTCGTACCTGCAACCAATTTTTGAAAACGTAGGAATGCAGAGTTTATGGGTTAATAAGTTTAATTTATTTTTTCTTCCTTGCATTTATAGTGACCGTGAGAGATTTAGTTTACGAAATTATATCCATTTATGTATTTTATTTATTAAACTTTAAACGTAAACATTCATTTTGAATGTTGAACAATTTTGAAAACCTACAGTAGTTGTTAGTTGTGCGCTCCAATATAAAATAACTTATTCGCATAATTATCTAGAGTAGAGAAGTTCCAAAAATGTACAAAATAGGTCCAAAGGCCCTTAAGTACCACTTATCAAACCTTCACACCACTCATCAAACCTTCACACATTTTAATTACAAAATAAATTACTCACAACAAAACTTTTTCCCACCAAAAAAATCCAAAGCTGCAAGAAATCCCGTAACAAATCCGTCACAAAATCCCGGTCAGGCAATCCTGAACAAATCAAATCGTGGCTCGATTAATGCTGATCGGGCGCCTTTTTGGCACAAATTATTATGCGCGTATAGTTTTAAGTCCCTTTGTTCTGTTTTTCTGTTTTCTTTTGTGTCAAATAAAGTTTTTCTTATTCTTATTCTTATTCTTATAAATCAACTGTTCCGTCGTTTGGTCTATGGCGCGAATCCCGGTTTCGTGCAATCAAATCTCGATCAGGCGATGGTGATATTATATCGAATCTAATCAAATCAAATGTCTGATCTATAGCGCGAAAAGTGAAAAGCGCGGGAGTGCAGCCGCGCGCGCCGGTCGACTGGCCGGCGCAGGAGTTGCGCACGCGATTACTGTGCGTCTTGTTTTCTGTTTTTGTGTGACCCTTAACTGGCACTGAGTGATGTATATGTTAGGATATATCGGTCAATTTGAAGATTCACTACTAGAAGTTACAACCATAAAGGATTAAAAGGATAAAGTGCGGTAAACCAGGTATTGTGTGAGCCTCAACTGCGTGATATTTAAGGATATCAATCGGTTTTCTAGAGTCATGGTGCGGGAGTCGCGCGTGATTTTGTAAACGAGTATAAACTAGCTTTCCGCCCGCGGCTTCGCCCGCGTGGAATTTTGTCTGTCACAGAAAAACATTATCGCGCGCGTTCCTGTTTCAAAAACCGGAATAAAAACTATCCTATGTCCTTTCTCGGGACTAAAACTATCTCCATGCCAAATATAATCAAAATCGGTTAAGTGGTTTAGGCGTGAAAGAAAGGCAGATAGACAGACAGAGTTACTTTCGCATTTATAATATTAGTATAGATAAGTACAACATAGAAATACTATAACATTATTAGAATAACTCGCACCCTTTTTGTACGTAAAGTGTATCTTCGTCACATTTCTAGAAGTAAGTACCTAAACTTGTCTATACCTAAACGTAACGTAACCAAAGTAGTAATCACCATACGCACTGACTGCCGACGCACACGTTAATGCACTTTGAATTTAAAAGTTTAATTAAGTTGGAATTATTAACGACTGATTCGCAGAGTTATCTATTATCTAATTACACGTGCCGGTAACTTGAGCGATAAATTAATATTTATAGACATAATACTACTGATCTAATGCATCATTTAACATTAATGGATGTCTATGTAGAGGCACAGAATAACTAATAGTACCAAGGTAGAGGGTTAAGATTGGGCCTACATAATTTATTTGACAATAAGTAGTAAAACAACACCTCCACCTTTTTAAAAACAATTCCAGTAGGTAAGTAATAAATAATGTAATTACTATGTAACTAATCTCATATACACCCAAAACGCCTACTCAGAAAATGTGAGCAAACTCCCCGTTGCGAAACATACCTCAATAACTACAACAGGCGTTTACGTAGTTAATCAACATCAAATCTAAGAAACTAGAATTACAGAACTTATAAATTGACTAGAATTGAAACAGATGAGATATCATATTGCTCAATAGCCTAGCCTAGGACCCTCCGATGATCGCTCGTAAATCACAATCATGATCTTTGCCCGCTGACACCGTAATGGGTGCAATGTGTGTCAATTGGTTATTTATTGCAAGTATACTATACTGCACCCTATGCAAATTGTTGTGTGTCGTCACACCGCTTGGGTTGAGTTAGAGACCACACAAACGATGTCAATGCTAAATGAAAAGAAAAATTGAGATTTTTGCTCTCTCCTTTGCATTTTTTCGACTCAATCGTAGTTACATATACGGGACTATTCCCACCTCTCGTTCCCACCACTGCAACTCCTGTGTAGCCAGGATCTACAGCTTGACCGCCACAAAAACCCAACCAATGAAGGTCAAGTTTGTCCCGGGGGAAAGTTAAACTGTCATTGGACCCGCAACGAAATTAATCAGAAGAACATAGGAGGAGTTCGAAATTAAGGTAGTTACATATAATTTGCTCATACGTAATTACGTTGCGCTACATTATAACAGACAGCATCGAAACTTTTTAGAGTGTGTATCCCCTTGGGAATTAAACTCACAATTTCTAAAACTCTTTAATTGGACGTTAGAGACGTCCATGTCGAAATTAATACAAAGACATTGCAATTAAATCAGAAACTGTGAACTCATGCAATACACGATAGAAGAAGACACAGAAAGAGAAGTAACACAATAATCGTGGGATTGGTAAGTTACACGAATTTATTGCTAAATCGCTGACTGACTGAGTGACTCTATTAAGGGCTGCTACAGCCTTGCATGAGTACACATTATGCATTAAATGCTTTGTTTTGCAGCGAAAAATATTGCCAAGAAGGTTCAAAAGGTTGGTTGAATTCTGGGACAAATAGCGGAGTAGAGTCAAAGGTGAACGAGACATCACATCGATCTACGCTCTGTGATAGCTTGATTTGTAGTGACAACAAGTCTAAGTAGTAGAAAATCATGATTTAAGCTCATTTTAATCTTATTTAAAATCACACCCCCGCAAATTGGCAGGATGCGTGTGTACCTAGCAAACCCCCTCAAATTGCCAGGTTGTTTATTCATGATAGACTTCCGAACAGAAAAACAGTCACAAAAAGGAGATGAAACTTTTTAAAGTTGCAAGTCAAGGAGAGTGTGTCTAGTCAATAAGAACAATGGGCAGTGGTTGATTGATGGACGCTACATACAATCAGGGATCAGATTAGGGACTAGGTTATCGAGTTAATTTACTTATACCATCTCGGTAGCCCTACAGATTGTGCATGCGCTGCATTTCGCAACGCCGGTCGTCGACCGCGCTTCCTTATTAGCCCGCGGACCTTTGACCGGCGAATCAGAGCCCACCACGCGAATAACGCTTCGGAAGCGCCCATTGTCTACGTAGGGCCCGGTCATATGGCTATCTCACGTTCGTTCGTTTGTTTCAGCCGAATGACGTCCACTGCTGGACAAAGGCCTCCCCCAAGGATTTCCAGAAAGACCGGTCCTGCGCCGCCCGCATCCAGGCATCTCCCGCGACCTTCACCAGATCATCGGTCCACCTAGTGGGAGGCCCGCCCACATTTTGTCTTCCGGCTCGTGGTCGCCACTCGAGAATTTTTCTGCCCCAGCTGCCATCAGCTCTGCAAGCTATGTACCCCGCCCTATTTCTATCTAGGTTGAAAAGCTGGCGGTCAAGCTGTAGATCCCGGCTACACAAGAGTTGCAGCGGTGGGAATAGTCCCGTTTCTAAGTTATAAATGGGGAAAAATAAATACCGGCTTAGCTTTTCCGACCCGGTTGCTACCTAAGTGCGGGAATATTCCCACCTCTCGTTCCCACCGCTGCAACTCCTGTGTAGTATCTACAGCTTGACCTCCAATAAAAACCCAATCAATGAAGGTTAAGTTTGCTACCTAAGTAGAGAAACGTTTTATTTTAGTCCGATAGTCCGTGTACGAAATTTAGAGCCATGTACCTACTTAACATAGTTCTACTTGACTTAGTTGGTATCCTATAATTAAATGTGTTTAAAATTCACATACTCGTAATGGTGCCGTAACGTCTACCAAAAGAAGGTAATTTGGCGTTCGTGTTTTTAGCACCTGAGCGTGACCGTGATCCTCCTACGCACAAAAAACGAAAAACATAAATGTTTGGAGACCACACTACACTAAAGTACGCTCCTTGGGCTAAGGTACGAACGACAGCGAATCATCAAGCTAAATACTGTTACATTTTAGGTCTATACTAGTATTATAAAGCTGAAGAGTTTGTTTGATTGAACGAGCTAATCTCAAGAATTACTGGTCCGATTTGAAAAAATATTATTGTGTTGGATAGCCAATAGGGGCGGAGCAGTAAAGAAAAATGTTGCAAAAATGGGAAATATTTACACTTTACTCACTTGGTGGCATTGTCATCGGTGAGAGCCTCATTGTTGTCTCCGGAGGTGGGTTCACCGTCACTGAAGCCCGACGCCGAGCTCTGGTGGTGCTCGGGAATCTGGAAGGAGCAAAAAATGGACATAAATAAGAGTTTTATATCGCTAATTGCAGCGAAAGAAGACAATGTTTTTAACCACGGGAAAAGCCTAATGAAGTACCCACAGCTAGAGTGTGACATTTCCCGAGGGTATTTCCAGAAATGTTCCCCAGACGTCAGATTATTCGGATGTGCAAGTTGTAACATCGGAGTGGTAAGGATGGTAGGTTGAAAATACGCGAAAAATTGAGAAGTGATTAGTGTTAAAAATGTTTTAAACAACTTTCAAATAGGTATTTACAATATCTAGATCAATATCAGCATAATATTTTCCTTGCTCTTAAAACTCGCCATCTACGTTAATCTAAACAATCTTCTGTAGTTTTATTCATTCAGTCTCATCCTAAAGTAAAAATACTTAGTCAAAATTAAATAAATGTTTTTAATTTGTTAAAAAGATAAACTAACCACACGAATTATCTTTAAAGTGTTGAGATTCATATCTTTACAAGTTATTCACATAACTTTAAATTATTTTATTTTATTTACACTTATACTCGTATGTCACATGCAATGATTCAAACTAAACTGTTTCCACTTCGAGTTATTCTCATTAGAATAAAACAATTAATGAATGAATTTCAGTCCGGAAACACATTAGTGTAGTCCAACAATTCACGCCACACTAAATGTTATCTCTACTATAGTTAAGATCTACAAACAAAGGCATATAATTACGTGAGAACACTAAACAAAATGTAGTGACCGAAATGTTTATTGCACTGCAAATATTGCAATAACATACACATTAGTTTAAGTTAACACTCGTTTAAGGGCTCGTTTCCACGACAATCCAGTTTTGCGGGATGCAGTAATGCAGGATCTCGCAAAACTGGACGGTCATGTGCACTGCACATTTACGTGTGTTTGAAATTCGGATTACAAATACAAACGAAACAGTTTTTAGCGGGACTCTACAAACGGTGTTCGTGCGAATGATACTATTAAACAGGGTCCTACAAAAATCGGGATGTCTCCGAGGGAACGACCCCTAAGTGAAATATCAATGTCATTATTGTGTGTATGTATTTATTTGTAATATTCATTACTTTATTTGTAACAAACCGGTTATTTCAAACATTCATGGGAAATTATGATAGAACGCAAGAAATAACATTATTGCAAATAGAAGTCCAGAAGTGTATCAAAGTGTTTAGGAAGTAAATTATGTTTTTGCCATTAACTATATGAAATAAGTAGGACAACAACCGATTTGAACAGCACAATTATGGCAGTTTTGTCACTAGAAAGGAATATCTTTAGAAACATAATGTCGAATTTAAACTATTATTATTTCAATTAAAGAATGATAATTATTTACATAATAGTCCAGTCAATAAAGCATTATAGATGGAAAACTGTAGAACACAATTTCTGACTTCAGGACTTTATTTAGACTAGTTAGGAGGTGAACATAGCAAAAGTCCCCGCCCTTAGCTCTTGAGCCGGCGGGGAGAGGGGGGTTTAAAGGTGCCACTTTTCGGTTTTTCGCTTAATCCTCGGAAACTATGCGTCCTAGTGACATGACTACTTTGAACCAAAAAAAGCATATTCAATTTGCTACAGATGAGATCGACAAGTTTTTCTATAAATTGTATAGTTTTCGTGGCATCTGCTCTAGAAGGTCTGTAATATTGGAAATTTTATTTTTGTCTTACATGTTCCCATCAGGAGAAAATCGACTAAATCAACATTGAGCAATCATTCTAGACATGCGGGAGCATGTTAAGCCTAGTTCCAGCGAGGGGACTACACCGTGCGTATATTTAGACGAATCACTTTGAGCCACTATTGAATCCTCATCACTCAAAAACTACTGTGCATTAACACTTCAAATTTGGCTCATGTGTTGAGACTTACAAGATATACATCAGTTTCAAATTTCATAAATATCAATGTTGATTTAGTCGATTTTCTCCTGAAAGGAACATGTAAGACAACAATAAAATTTCCAATTTTACAGACCTTCTAGAGCAGATGCCGCAAAAACTATACAAGATATAGAAAAACTTGACGGTCTCACCTGTAGCAAATTGAATAGGCTTTTTTTGGTTCATAGTAGTCATGCCACTAGGACGCATAGTTTCCGAGGATTAAGCGAAAAACCGAAAAGTGGTACCTTTAAACCCCCCTCTCCCCGCCGGCTCAAGGGCTAAGGGCGGGGACTTTTGCTATGTTCACCACCTAACTAGGCTAAATAAAGTCCCGAGGTCAGAAATTGTGTTCCATGGATTTCTCTCTACACCGTCGTTAAGGCCGGGTAACAGAGAAAATGGCGAAAATGATGTTTTCATTTTTCATTTTTGAGGTACTAAACAGTAAAATAAAAGGCTAAGATTTTTTTTGGGCATAGTTGAGGATATTTTCTAGGGCTATTAACGGATGGAAACACGATTTGATGAAGTTGACTCGATAGAATAAATTCCCAAAGTTACCTCTATTCGTTTTCTAATTATGGTTTTATTTTTAAAATAAGCGATTTGAGATTCTGAATCTTTTACTAAACTAAAGTTCAGAAATAACTTGAGGGCTTTTAACGGATGAAATTTTTATATTGCGTCTTATTTAGTTACTATGTTAAAAAATGTGGAAAAAATCGCCCATGACGGCTTGGACAATCTCAATCAGTCGCGCGGTGGCGCTTACGGAGGACGGACGCGTGGGTCAGTGGGTCAAATATAGGGGCAGCTGCACGTCACTGAAAGACGATTCTGTTTACTCGGCATCTGGGCTGGAGAACATGAATCCTTGCTTACAGATGCAGATGTAAATAGAGTTATCGTTCGTTCGTTTCAGCCGAAAGACGTCCACTGCTGGACAAAGGCCTCCCTTAAATAGAGTTATAATTGAACAAATTTTACATGAAATGTTTAACAGAACTCAGTTAAAAGACACATACATGGAATACCAATAAGGTTGCGGAGGGAAAGCTACCTATTATAAACTAGCGGCCGCCCGCGACTTCGTTCGCGTGGACCTCGTTTTACCCCCGTTAGATATGATGTTTTACCTCATTTTACCCATGTTGATAGATGACGTTTCACGGTTTCCCCCGAATGAATATTTACGAACGTCATACCGTAGTTTGTCCAGTGCTGTAGATTTTAACCAATGACGATAGATGGTGCTTTTAGACACGTTTTATTTATTTATTGAAATTTATTTGCCACATATCGTCATAATGTTAATCTGGGTTATAAACAATAATACTGTAAAGTTTCAACAAATCCGTTCAGTAGTTTTTGCGTGAAAGAGTAACAAACATCCAGACATCCAGACATCCAGACATCCAGACATCATGACATCCAGACATCCAAACTTTCGCCTTTATAATATTAGTAGGATATTTCACAATCCAAACTAATATTTACTATTTAGCATTTACTTACAGTAAATATTAAGTAGTTTGGATCGTGAAATATTTAAAATAAAAAAAAGAAGAAAACAAAATAGGGTTTCAAATTACCTATCTATAATCTAATATTATAAAGAGGTAAAGTTTGTGTGTTTGTATATTTGTTAAATTGTAAGGGGTAATCTCGGGATCTACTGAACTGATTTTAAAAAATCTTTCACCAATTGAAAGCCACATTATATCTTAGTGTAATAGGTTATATAAAAACCAAAAAATTCCACGTGGGCGAAGCGGCGGGCGGAAAGCTAGTTTATTTATAATTATGTAAGAGCATAATTATTAAAGTCGAAGTCAAACATTCTTTATTAATTTGTGTGGACCTATATTAACGAGAGATTACAAAAGATTAATATGCATCTTATCACCACTGCTGTTTAACACCTACACAGAGCTCATTATGAGGATAGCACTCGAAAACTGGTCGGACGGAGTCGTTGTTGGGGGTCATAAAATCTCAAACTTGCGCTATGCAGATGATACTACCCTTATTGCAACTAGCATCGAGAATATGGAATTTCTACTGAGCAAAATGGAACAGGTCAGCCTGGATTTCGGTTTGAAGATTAACCGCAGCAAGACGAAGATAATGATTGTCGACCGAGCTAACAACAACTCGCCCGAGGTCACTAAAGTTGCGAACTGCGACGTCGTCCAATCATACGTCTACCTTGGTGCACTGATATCGAACAGTGGTGGATGCGCGGATGAGATCAAGCGGCGTATGGCTATTACCAGGTCCGCCATGGACCGGCTCAGGAAAATATGGAGAAACAGAAACATCACAAAGGCCACCAAAATGCGACTTGTCAGGGCATTAGTGTTTCCCATATTTCTTAACGGTGCTGAGACGTGGACTCTGAGAGAAAGTGAGAAGAAGAAGATAGACGCTCTAGAGATGTGGTGCTGGAGAAGGATGCTTGGCATAACCTGGACAGAGTTCCGAACCAACGTCTCGATCATCCAAGAGCTTGATGTCAAACAGCGTCTTTCTTCCATCGTCCAAAGTCGTATACTCACTTTCTTTGGCCATATAACACGTGGAGACGTCGCTTCTGTTGAACGACTTGTCGTGCAGGGGAAGGTTGAGGGCACAAGAGCGCGCGGCAGGTCGCCCATGCGCTGGACTGACCAGATCAAAACCGCACTCAATGGTCCACTCCACGAGTGCACAAGAAAGGCTGCAGTGCGGGAGGAATTAGTGCCTTTGATTTAATTACTTTTTATTTTTACAAGTGTTTGAAAACTCCATTTCAGATTGTGTTCAATGTCAAGTGAAATCTCAAATTGAAATGTCTCAATCTCAATGAGGAGACTCTGTATTTATTCCTAGAATTCCCCAAACACCGTCAAATTACCCTTTCGAATTCAAGACAGTGCAGTTTCCCATCAGTCTGCTTCGTAATGACTATAAACAAAGCTCAAAGTCAAACTCTAGGGACCTCTGCTTAAACTCCCATGAGTGCACAGAGGTACGCAGGTAACCGCGTGTGATGCTCATAGCAATTTTCGATAGGTACTGAACCCCGTACATACGTCATACATATTA